CTCCACCTCCCCCCACCCCCGCCCCGCCTGGCTTCCTGTGGCTAGGTGGCAGAGCTGCGGGGCTGGGGAGGGAGCTGGAAATTTCCAGGGGCGGCCGGTCCCGGGGGAACGCCTGCTGTCTCAGCTGCCGCTCGGGCCAGCCCGGGGGCCACACCCTTGCCTCTGAGCCGTTTCGGGCCCCTTCTTCACCTGCCGGGCGGGGGGGGGGGGTGGGGGGGTGGGGAGCCCTTTGGCGATTTCCTATCCCGCCTTGGGAGTTCTTTGGGATTCCTTCCCTGGAGGAAGGGGGGAGGGGGAGGAGGGTCTCTCGCCCAGGTCCCATTTCCATCTTTCCAGCTTATTGTCAGCGTTCGCGAGGTGTACGTTTATTAACGTTTTAAGTTTCCATCCCTCGCCTGAATGCGCCGTCTGGCTTGGAGATTGCTATTTTATTTTCGCTTTGAGCTACGCAGGATTGGGGACCCCCCCCCCCCAAAAAAGATCTTTCTGGTAGTTGAACCAAGCACCTTCCTGTGTTCAGGCTTTCTTGGGCCGGGCGTCTTAAGAAGGCTGTCCGGAGGACTTGCTTTTTGAATGCTTCGGAGATGGGTTTCTTTATCTCCGGTGATTGTCGACTCCTATTCGTGAACTGTCTCATCCCTTATTTGTAACTGTAACGGGTGGGATTTATTAAACAGTTTCAGGCCTTTCCCCTCCCCCTGGGTGCTATTAAGCATTTAACATTGCATTTATATCTCTTTTTCCACTGGATAATCAAACGAAATGGGATTTGTAAATTGCTTAGCACAGTACCCGGCTCATAGTGGATGCTGTGTAAACGCTAGCTATTAATAGTAATTGGGAAAGCTGCGATTTCAAGCCTTAAAATGGTAGTTATGCTGTTTCAAACCTGCTTTGTTCACTGAAGAAAAAAAGACTCGAGGTCCACATTGTTTTGCGGTATCCGTTGGACAGGGATACATCTTTTCTTCTTCTCACCCCCCCCCCCCCCCCCCCAGTTTTCATAAGCGAGGTTTATATTTGGCAGTTGAGTCTCTCACCCTCTCACTTTAGGTTGAATTCCATAGTCATTGTATCCAAAACCTAAGTCTGCCATTTTTTTTCCCCTCCGTGGAGCCAAGTTCTGATAACCATGTTTCTTATTTGACTCTGGACAAAACCTGTCCTGGTTTTTCAGCTCTGATTGCCATTTACCTGTAGTGTGAAAAATAGCAGAAAATCATCCCAAAGTGGCTGTATCTAACCTGAGATGAGTATACAGTGGCCTAAGAGACTGTTCAGTTGGGCATCACCATTTGAATAGTCCCTTTAGAGTTCATGTTTGTGTCTTTAGTATTTTAATTTGGTTCTGGTTGGTCTGAAGACCTTTCTTTTTCTTCGCAGATGATTTGAGGAAGCTGCTATTTCAAGTATTCAAATAGCATTTATTAAATTTTGAAAGTGATGTGGTAACTGGGGGAGAAGGAGAGTACATTTGTTAGCTACTTTTTTTTTTTTTTTTTTTTTAGGTTTCATTACTGACATTTGCCTCCCCCAGATTTGCTAAGATAAAGTCTCCCCTCTTGATGATTCTATTCAGCAGCATAGGCTGTCATTCCTCTCATGTAGGTTGAGTTCCCTGAAGAACCCAAGGCAGGCACTTTAGTGATCAGAGTACTGAGCAGGATTGCCACCTTAAACCTCAGTTTCTTCCTCTGTAAATTGAAATGATGATACTGCTGGAACCATCGACCTCACAGAATTGTTGTGAGGAAAGCTCCTCGAAAAGGGTTATGTAGAGGTGCTGTTTGATTTGTCTTAAACGAGTGGGCCATCGATTCAAGCTTGCAGAGCTTACATAGATACTTTTGTGGTAGTGGTATTGAGATTTGACCTGGATAAAGCCAAGTTAATTTTTAACACCGTAATGATATGTTGAAACTTAACATCTGGCAAACTGCCTCATTGTGCCCTCTCTCTTTGCCTGAGTGAAATCTGTTGCATACAGCGATTTTTTCATATATTAATTGAGTAGTTTACCAAATGTTTTGTACTAGATTTCTGAGCATCTCTTAGCATTGCAGTCACAGATGACTACTTGAAACAGGTATTTGGATGCTTTTTCGTTATTTGTAGTATCTTAATCTTCCTGAAACTACTGGAGAGCTGTTGGGCAAAGTACTCCTTGTGCATTCATTAAGGATGAGAAGTGTGCCTTGGGGGATGGGCACAAGAGCAAACGTGTTCCTCTGTGCTTGGTTTAAAACATTTGATGACCTGGTTAAAGACTTAGGAATCTTGTCAGATAAATTTCCCTTTCTTATTTATCAGCTGCCTTAAAAATAGCAGCTTCATTTCTAAGTTATCTCTGCCCTCTTCCCCCCAACCCCATTTGATTTTAGTCTTTATTTTCCGTGTTTTGCCAGGAATTTTATATTTTCACAAAGTGGCTTAGAAAACGGCAGACACCTTACTTGGGAAGGCAGGTTATAAAAATACTTAATGAGCAGATTTACCCCAAAAGATTATTCTAGCCAATATCATTAAACATTTTTCCATCTGTTTCAGAACTACGTGGTTTTATCTTGTTTCTTCACAGAACCCAATGTCGAAGATGGTAACTTTGGGAGGACTGTCATTCTAGAGGAAGCTCCAGAAATAGACGTAGAATTTAATGGCACCTAGTGTCTGTTCTAGAAGATAATCTAAAAATAACCTTCTGGCTAATTTATCGCACATATTTACCTGATAAACCTTCTCATTTAGTTTGAGAAGGACATAGCTCCTGAAATGTTGATTCTGTGCTTGATCTAAGGATGGGGTATATTGATATAGTTAGTACACTCTAGTGCTTTACTGAACTTCAAGCATTTTGATCTTTTGATTTATTTGCCCTTTTTTCTTCTTCTTCTTCTTTTTTTTTTTTTTTTAACAGTTTGTAGTTTGTGTTTTCTAATGATTTGTCCCCTGTGTCGTTCCCCCCCCCCCCCCAGAAAATAAAGTGTTTTGGTGATTTTCCAGAACCAACAGAATGTATGCTTTCCTTCCAAGGGTTAGCTGAGTTGGCTCATCGTGAATATCAGGCAGGAGATTTTGAGGCAGCTGAGAGACACTGCATGCAGCTATGGAGACAAGAGCCAGATAACACCGGTGTGCTTTTATTACTCTCGTCCATACACTTCCAGTGTCGCAGACTGGACAGGTAGGAGACTTGGGTTTATTCCTTAGATATTGAAATTCGAGAAACTTCGATTTTTACCAAGTGTACTTGAATCGTTGCTATTGTTACATTGTCCTTCACACAAGCATGCAGAAATGCTTCTGAGCCTGCACTGATTCATTCTAGTACTTGCTCGGTTCGTACATACCACTCGGGCCTAGTGGCAGCTTCTTCTTTCCTGGTTCTTGTTATTAGGCACGGGCATAATTGCTAAACAGTTGAGGAGGGGAGGGCTAAAGGGACTTTGCAGACTTGACGACCTGGGGCTGTTGTTAACTATTCAGGTAACAAACTATTCTTGGTCCTGTTTCCTTTGACACTCGAAAGGCACGTCATGGGGGACGGGACAGGAAGAGAAATGGTTCACAAATGGAAATGCATATGTCACGAGAGGAAATGTATGGCCTTCAAATGATAACTACTACTAAAACATACATTTGAATCTTTTGGACTAAACTGAATTACCGAGCAAGTAAAAGAATTATGCTGTAATATACTAAATGCTATGTATCCTTTACTACCCTTAACACAGGGGTCCAGGGTTACTTTGGTGCAGATGGTTGCATTGTTAGGATAGATGGAATGGAAGTGCACCTAGTAAGCACTTACTGTGTGTTAATCCATGTGTAGGATACCAAGAATAAAAGTACAAAATTGGTATAGTTCTCTCTCAAGCTGACATCCTAATTAAAGGAGACCACCTGTATAGTAGGGTTCAGCTCTAGGGTAGATGGAAAGACCAGATCACACAGTCCTTAGGTGCAGGGGTCCCAGTGGAAAGGGATCACTCCTGGATGGGCTACTTGTTGTTTCTTTCTGCTTTACGACAAGAGGCATGATATGTTAAGAAGAAGGCAACCAAACAGTCTCTACAAGAAAAACAAACTATATCGGTGCCTATCTTCTAGACCGATGTGCATCTGATTGGCCAGCTCATTGAGTTAGTATATCTATATATGTATATGTATATATGTATGTATGTATGTATGTATGTACTACAGTTTAATGAATTGGCTAGGTTGTGTTTGGGAGATTGTATGGTGCTTCTGTTGATTCCAAACCGCTCCCTTGTGTGCGAACCTTTTGAAAACCATTGTTCTAGTGATGTATGGTTGTGAATCTTTGAAATGCTATAGATTTAAGTAGCAAATTAGATTCTGGAACACTTTATTTCTTGAGACTCCATGATCAGTCTAAATAGAAGATCATTCTTTATTCATTCTACTAGATTCAGAAGACTAAAAAATGGATGACGGAGTTCTTTCCCTCCCCTCAAAACTTCTGAAAGCACTTTTGTTGCTTGCCTTTTTCTTCAGCACTCTGCTTTTAAAGTTACTTAAGTCTTATGTAGTTTCTGGTTAGGTGGATAATTGTCATATAGTGAAAAGAACATGGAGGAGTCAGAAGACTGTGGCTTTTGGTATGTCCTTTGCAGAGCCTGGATTTGATAATGTTTTGAGATGCTTTGTAAACTGTGGTATAGAAAGTTGATATTCTGGAATGCGAGGACTGGTTGGTACACCAGGCCAGATTTGAGGAGGTGCCTTTCTCTAGATCATCCTCATCACCGGTCTTCTCTCTTTTCCAGGTCTGCTCATTTTAGCACTTTGGCCATTAAGCAGAACCCACTTCTGGCAGAGGCCTACTCCAATTTGGGGAACGTGTACAAGGAGCGTGGACAGTTGCAGGAAGCTATCGAGCATTACCGACATGCACTGCGCCTCAAACCCGATTTCATCGATGGCTATATTAACCTGGCAGCCGCTTTGGTTGCAGCAGGGGACATGGAAGGGGCAGTGCAAGCTTATGTGTCTGCCCTTCAGTACAATCCTGTGAGTAGAATTTGGTAGTGACTATCTTACTCCCACAGACACCCAGGAAACTGCTTTGGGTAGCTCACTCATTGCAAAGCCAAAATAGTATTTTGGTGTTTGGGAAGGGGGTCTTTACGTAAGATGAACACGATTACTTTAAGCTGGGCTCTTAAATAAGAAAATTCTTCTAATAAGCAGATAATGAAAAGAATAAAATCCACCCTTGCTGCAGATGCTCTGTCTAGCGTGGTAGGCAGGGAGCCGGACATTAAACACACACAGTTCTTCTTGTGGGTCATTCTGGAAAGTCTTGATGAACTCCAGGAAATTCTCTCATCAGTGTAGAAGATGTCTGAATTCTCTTGATATAGAACTGCTTGGGAATGCTGGATATTTGTGATGGTGACTGTTGAAATCTAGTAGTACGTCAGTTTAAGAAACATATTTCACTATACTTAACCCAACTGTTATATGGACTGGCTCCAACCATATATTAGGAGCCATAGGTTATGTTTAGGAGAGTTGTTATGTAATAGGGGTTAGGGCAGATCTTTCTGGTAACTGATAGGAAATTTGGTCTGGTTCTGCTACTAATTAATTGACATAAGGTTTAGAGTTAGTTGCATAAGTGACTTGGAAGTCACTTAAATTCTGTGCTTCAATTTATTCACCTCTAAAAATGGGACTGTTGCTTGCCAGCCTTCCTCACAGGATTATTGGAGAATTCAATGAAAAAATTGACTTGAAAAATTCTTGGTGAAAACTTAATACTCCCAATTAGGTAGTATGTTATGTACACTTGAGCTTCTGAGTGGTTTTTAGGGAGTGAAAGTGTGGTGCATCTGTCTACTGTTGACATGTAAAATTTCTTTAAAACAGATGTCAAAGTATAAGGTTAGATCATTTCTTCTTCGTCTTGTCATGTCCAAGCAGCATAGAAGATAAAATTGGTAATGAGGTGAAAATGGTTTTACTAGGCTTTTTGTTTAGTCCCCGTATTTTTCTTTATAATTAAAAATGAGTCAGCAGATGAATTGCATATCCATCCTGTAAAAGATAAAAAGAGGTGTGAGAGAGAGCCCTTACTCTCAAGGCATTGACAGCCCAATCGAGGAGTCCAGTCGTGACACGCCTAGAAATAGAATTAGCAATCTAAGGCATTGTATGTAAGGTAAGTGCGGAACGAATGGCTCCAGAGAACGAATACCCTGGGGGTAAAAGGCTAGCCCAAACAAAGTCTGTTCAGGTATTCAGTAGTTTCCTCAAAGATCTCAATCTTTCTTAAACTAATTGGTCTCTATACTTCAGTACTCTGTCACTGCTGCCTTGGGTTTGAGCCCTGTACTTAGGGCTCAGTTCTGACAGTAAGTAGCCCTCCCTTAGTTCAGAACCTCAGTGGCTAATACTTAATAGCAGTAGAGAATGAAGGATAATTAATATGTTGAATGACTGAATTAGAATCCAAAAAGTTCTCAACAGGCTAGTGTGATGGGCTGAATCTAATAAGATAAAATTTTATGTAGACAAATGTAGACTCTATCTAGCACTTGGGTTTTTTAAAAAAAAGCCAACTGGACAGGTACTCGATAGTAGAAGACAACTAGTAGCTATAGAATTTTTCATGTAGAAAAGGTGTGATTTTATTGGACTGTGAACTCAATGTAAAACATCAGTGTGATCCTTCAAGCAAGAAATCGAAGGAGATTTTTGCCTGCACTAATAGAAACCTAGGGACCCTAAAGAGGGAGGAGATGGTCTCTTTCTAAGCTGCCTTGGTTAGATACCATCTGGAGGATTGCCTTCAAGTCTGGGTGCTGCCTTTAAGAGATTTTGGACAAGCTAAAGTACACCCAGGGTGGTGCAGGAGACTGGAAACTATGCTTACAAATGAAAATAGATTACCAGGAACTGGGCTTGCTTAGACTGGAAAAGAAAATGGTGTGTGACTGTTGTCTTCAGGTAGCTGAAGACCTGTCAGTCAATTGGAAGAGTTTTATCTTAATTATACTAGCCTTTTGATCTCTGGAGCCTCATTGTGTTCGTCAGTATATGAAGACCTTACCCTTCATATTCTGTTGTCAGTACTGGCAACTTAAAGACCTGAACTGGACTTTTTATTTGTTTTGAGAGGGCAGAACTAGTAGCAATGGGTTGTGGATAGATATTTGTGCCTGATACAAGGAAAAGCTTCAAACTGTCTCAACGTGACCCTGGGGGGTCCTCAACCTTAGAAGACTTCACATGCCAGCTGCATGCCCTATTGTGGAATGGTATTATTTATTATTGTGGGTGTGTGTGTGGGGGGGTCCTATTCAGGAGTAAGTTGCCCTAAATAATAGTTTCTTCCCAACTCTGAGTCTGTATGGAAATGAGGCGATGAGAAAAGGAGATCTTAGAAAGAGAACTGTGATTCTGAAAGACCAAGCCATTAGCTCAAAACGAAATCTGTCCTGCCCTGCTGGAGAAGCTGGACAGTACCAATAAAGAAAATTGGATTACTCTGAATCATGTGCTGGATGGTCTGATACAATGTTGGAACCCCTGTTTGTTTGCTGGGTGGAGTGGAAACATTGACATGATTTCAGCTTTTCATGATTACTCATCATGAGTAAATATTCCCGGGTATCCTCACTTGCTTTAGTGAAGGTGGTATGAGTGCCTTGACCTTTGCTATTTGACTGATTGATAAAGCTTGAGATATTTCCAGTGCCCCACTGGCTTTGCATGGTAATAACTGTACTGACATGGTCTTTATGTCACACTAGAAGGTTTGCAGGGCACTTCATAAGTATGATCTCGTTTGAACCTCACAATAACCCTGGGAGGTGGGTGCTGTTCTGATCCCCAGTTTATGGTTGAGGAAACGGAGGCAGAGACTGGTTAAGAGTCACACAGCTACTGAGTGTATGCAGCCGCATTTGAGTTCTGGCCTTCTTGACTCCAGGTCCAGTATTGTATTTACTGTGCCACTAGCTGTCTCTAAATGGTCCAAGACGCTCAGACAACTTTGATTTTGCAGTGGTGAAGGAGTGCAGTAGTAATGACTGACAGTCATTACTTTATTACAGCTTTACTACATCTCCATTTTGTAAGGTAGTCCCCCAAGTAACTTGTATCTAGTGGCATCTCATTTCTAATGAAAAGGTAGGTCACATTCAGGGCTATTTTTTGACTCGATTGGAGAAATTGCCCTGATGCATTGAGCTGTTTGATTTTTGCCTTCTGCATCGTCGGTAGCTGTTTAGAGCTTCTGGTGATGTTTGGTGTGTTGACGTGGCAGAAATGCTAAGTCCGCCATTTTAAAGGTGCTTTTGCTAACAGTGTGGATCCATGGACTCGATGGAGTTGATTTTAGATTATTTCCCAGCAAGTGGTACGAGCATTACGTGGTTGTCCTGGTGTACTTTTGCTGTTCCTGAAGCTTCACTTTTACTGTGATTACCCTCCTTCCAGTGACCAGTCCATTGAGCACTGTTTTGGCATCCTGGTGTCATAAGTGTCAGGGGCTCTCACTTCTGCAGCTGAGCTCTGGAGGACCATTCATTTCTATGCTTTTGCTGCTGTTGGTTAAATTTAGCACATGTCAGAGGTCAGTAAATATTTGAGTGCTTGCTATGTGCATTACTAGAAGCTCTGGGGAGATCAGAAAAACTAAGGGGGTTCCTTTGCTTGCTTATGCTCCAATGAGACAGGATACACACATTAGAGAGGCAGCGGATCGAAGGAGACGTGTGCATAAAGCTAGGGAGGATAGTGTGTGTGGGCATGCTGGAGAAATTTGGAGAAAGGAGATACCAAAAGCAATATTATTAATCTTAAAGGATTTAGGGATGTTCTCCCTTCCCTTCCAAGGATTATTCTTTGTTGTGGACAACTGTGCTCTCCTATTTAAAAAAAAAAAAAAATCGATTGCTGATACCCTAAAAGCAAGTCTAAGTTGCCTTAATCATGGGCGATCAACCCAGCATGGCAATTCTGTGTTAAGAGGACATCCTATAGTTTGCCTAATCTTTGCTCATAGTTAAGACTTGCTGATTCTGAGAAACGATTCAGAATTCAGTACGGTGCATAGCATGCCAGTCTTGGCACAGCAAAAATACCAGCTCTTGGATGACAGTTGCTAGGATATTTAGTTAAGGTGAGTCCACATAGGGACGAACGATATTTCTTATTAACTGTTGGGGTTTTCTGGGCAAATTCGGACAGATGCCAGAAGTAGTCTCATGACAGAAGCCTTTCCCTCCAGTTTGGGTAAATGTGTCAGGTGACCATCTGTACAAATTCAGCTTTGTCTAAGGAATAGAATCAACTGGTGGCAATTTAGTTGCCCACCATTGGCTGCCCACTGGCCCTGCACCGAGGGTGCTAATGAACAATACGGTATAAACAGCAGGAAACAAAATGTGTGGAAAAGGACAAGGAGTTGAGGAATTTATTCTCGCATAACAGCTAAGCATCATTTTTAAGTTTCTAAACTTCTCTCAGAAGCCTAGGTTCTGGTTATTTTGTCTCACAAGTTTTTCTGTTTTAGTGGAAATTTCGTCTTTGGTGTGATTCAACACTGCCTTGGTAATAATTAATAATTAAATTGTATTGAATCTGAGTATTTGGCTTGTGAGCGCTGATCTTCTGAGGGACAGAGAAGCTATTTGCTTCACTGATTGACTGCTTCGACCTTAAGTGACACAGTAGAATGAAGTGTAGAACTCCAAAATGTGATTGCAAGGCTTCTGAAGTAATGCCACAAGAGTACAGTTAATGATAAAGTGTCTCTGATTTCTAGGATTTGTACTGTGTTCGCAGTGACCTGGGGAACCTGCTCAAAGCCCTGGGTCGCTTGGAAGAAGCCAAGGTAGGTGTTCATTAGAACGCATTTAAACATCAGCGTTTTGAAAACTTGTACTCTTTGCCAAGTCTTCCAATCTTCATTGAGCTATCTTCACAAACAGTCCTGAGAAACTGAGGAAAACTGACAGCATGAATCGCCTGAGCCTAGAGCAAGGCCAGGCTTTGGCACCCCTGCTCTAAATCTGGGGGTAAAGCAAGGACCTGAACATTGTGGAGCCCTTCTACTGAGCTAGATTCCACCCCCCCCACCCCCCCACCCCCGATATCGTTGGGCTCCAGCAGGATCTTATCTGGGAGTAAATAACATTCCTTCGTATCTGAGGCTTGCTGCTCTTCTAAGTCCTTTGTGGCTTGTAAGTGGAGAAGAAAGTCATCAAAATGTTACCCTGTAATACTGGCATTTAAATTTCTTATTCTTTAACCTTCCTCCCCTCATCTCCCCCATCCTCCCCACCCCCCACCCTTTTTACAGTGGAAGAAAGGCTGCTAAATGATCACAAATTTAATAATTGGAGCTTCCCCCCTCCCCCCCATCCCCTCCCCACTTCCTCCTGTCATTGTACCTCCCCACCTCTTTACAGTTCTTCTCTTCCCCTTCCCTGTAGTCTCCTTAGTCTTCTCATTCCCTTCTTTATTTCCTTCTCTTTCCCTGCCTTACTCCCTTTAAAAAATATCAAAGGGCAGAAGGACAAAGCTGGTTTGTCTGGGAAATGGACTGATCGAAAGAAAACTTGCTAAAGTGGAAAGGTGGCTTTTAGCAGTCTTTGTTTCCAAATGATGAGAATTTGAATACCAGGTTGGGTTTTAAAGCTTTTGGCATAATTTAAAACATAAATTACAAAATGAAATTGTCTTGTTACAAGCCACCTTACGCAATCGCGCTGCAGGGGTGAGGAGTGGGGAGAAACCAGAGAGCCTCTGAAACTCCCACCTGTTGCTCTGAGCCCCACGCGCATGCTGATGCGTGGAGTGTATGCGCAGCGTAGCTGTCTGTTTGATCACCTCATTGTAGGGAGAGCGAAAGGCTTTTCGGCACCATCTGATGGTAAAAAGCACTGATTTTTTTTTTTTTTTTTTTAAAAAGTGCAGAGTTCATAAATTCATTATACTGGCCATTTGGATTAACCAACATAGGTTTCCACCCTATGAATTCCATCTGATTGATTAAAAACGAGCTGAAAAGATGCCTCGTTGGCGATTTCTGTAGGAAATCTTCCAGCCCCTGTTCATTTTCATCCCACCAAGCGGACAGCTAACACGAATTGCACTTCACTGCAGCTTTAGAGACCGGTTTAGGCTGAGACACTGCGCCTGCCTTAGGTTGCTGACTTCTTTATTTCAGAGCTCTGGAGACACCTAGTTTGAAAAGCGTTATACTGTTTTTGTGAGAACTTAGTAAACAAGACAACTATGGAGTGAAATGCAATGTATTTCTTTTGTAATCAGTGCATTTGAAAATTCAAGCCAGCAAATTCTTAGTAGCTAGAAGCAAATTTGTTTTACAGAAATTTCAGAGCCTTTCTTCCAGCAAAGTCCCTGCTGTATGCAATAGTCCTGATTAACCCTCTCCCTTCTGCATGACTCCCATGTTACAGACTGAGACTGTCCTCATTCCCATATGTTATAGACATATCCAAAGAATTTCAATTGCTTTGTTGAACTTTTACTAATGATCTTGTTTTATTTTCTCTCTTGTTTTTGGTTTTTCACCATTGATATTGTATTTAGAAGGTTTCAGGTGGGTGAAACCTCCTATTCCATGCGTAAGGTGCCTCGCTGAAGGGAGCTCGAGGCCTGGATCTAGGGCAGACACACACCTCCTCCTCCTCTTCCAGCAAGGAACGCACCGAAAAGTCACATGATGAGAAATATGGTAACGGGTTTGTAACTGCCACAGCAAAACAATTTGCCTCCATGCCTGAATCTTCTGTCTTGTGGCTTCAGAAAAAGCTTAAAAACTATTTTATTTACAAGCAAGTAATGTAAGAGAATGTTTTATACTTTAGCCACAATTCTTTCAAAGAAGTAAAGTTAAAGTAAATTAAACTATTAAAAATTAATTGGAGATAATTTACTAGTAAAAGCTTCTAACTCTCCTTGTTGTTCATTTTTTTTTCCTTTTTTCTTCTTTGTTTGGATTGCAGCGTTCTGCTCTTCTGATGACGCGCTGTGACCCTGCAGTAGCGCAAAGGCTGCGCAGCGTTAACCGCGCTATGCGTGCGAATGAACCCCTGTGAACGGTTGACTAGATGAGTAATCTGATTGACTGGCTCCCTCAGTCCTATTCTGTAGCCTTTTTGGACCAAATTGGGTTTTAGCCTCAGCACTTTGAATCGAGCTGATCTCATCACCAACAAACACTCAACGCGGGCCTGTCTAGTAGATTAATGGATCTCGTTGGCCGTTTGCTGTGCCTAAGGGTGTTCTGCAGAGCGCAGCAGCAGTCGCAGCGATGGCGCAGCGCAATGCTGTTAGGAGGCGCTGGCGACGTTTGCGCTCGCATTACAGGGACCTCAACCCAGGTGCGTTCCTGTCATGTGAGGTTTCAGCTTTAGGCCCTGGTGGGTGTGGGCCAAGTCTAAGTAGAGCTTACGTGGCTGACTGGGGAAGAAAATGTCTCAGTGATTTGTATAAGGGGAATAGAGAAGGAAGTGTGTGCCCCTACTGCTCGATTTTGGTTTTGTCGAAAGAGTCTTTAGTATTGAGGAAAATGGGTATGGGTTTCGTTTGGTGACCCCAGAAGACGCTTTTCTATCCATAATAAGCAGGCCCAGGTGTTAGGATGAGAACTGATGGCGAGTGAGAAGTCCAGCTCTAGACTGAGGCAGCTGGCTTTCCAGGTGAGTTCCCAGCCTAAGGGTTCACCCTTGTTTGGCAGAACTGAACATGGTGGTTTGCACTTGGGTTCTGGTTGGCGCGGGCGCAGGAGCAGCCAGCTGCGGCAGCGCAATTAGTTTTGGCGCAAGCGGGCCTATGCTGCAGGGTCACTTTTGGCCGGTCAGAGAAGGAATACTGACATCGACTTTTTTTTTCCCCTTGATCTTTTTTTTTCTTTACAAATTTTCCCCTTTCCCTGTACCTTTTCCCCTCCCATCTTTTTTCTTCTTTCATTAACCCTTCCAAGGCATGTTACTTGAAAGCAATTGAGACGCAACCAAACTTTGCAGTAGCTTGGAGTAATCTTGGCTGTGTTTTTAATGCCCAAGGGGAGATTTGGCTCGCAATTCATCATTTTGAAAAGGTAAGTCATTGAACTGGTGATTTATCAAGTATCTGACCCTAATATGTTGTGTTAATATCTGTGTACACTGACTGCATCAGCGTATAGATGTGGGATGTGTGTAGCGCTTTTATATACATACATACACACACACACACACACACACACACACCATGCGCATGCACGCATATCTAGATCTATCCTCTATCTGTAATGTAGTGATCCCCGGGTAGCGTAAGTTAGATTTCATTCTCCAGTTAGAAACTCAGGCGATGATGGCAGCCATTTAAAGTAGCTCAGAATTGATTAATGAATCTGCCAGTGGGTCTGATTTTTACATTGAGGAAGTAATTATCAGTCAGCACGGCCCATCTGTCCCCTTATCCACTTAATGACACTGTAGTAGTCACTATTGAATACCTACCCCGCCCCCTTTTTGGGGGGTTCCTGATGTCATTTGATCCTCATAATATACCTCCTGTTGGCAGGGATTGTGACTCAGGGAATTGATGTGATTTGCTGAAGTTCGTAACAGTAATAGCTAGGATTTATATGGTCCTTTGAGGTTTGCAAATGTTCTCGTTTTATCCCCACAGCCTTGGAGGTAGATGCTATTACTACACCACTTTCCCCCCCCCCCCTTTTTTTTTTTAAACAGATAAGGAAAATGAGGCAGACAAGTTAAGTAACTTGCGCAAGGTCAGAGAGCTAGTAAGTATCTGGGACCAGGTTTGAACTCAGGGTCATATGGAATTGTCACTTAAATCGATTGTCATACTCTGCTCAGAAACTCAGGGTGCTATTATGATGAAGGCCAACTTTCTTAAGTTGGCATTCATGGCCCTCTGTTATCTGGACTCATCTGGGCTTCCAGTCCAGCCTTATCTGCAACCTGGCCTCTGGTACAGTGAAATCTGGCTCTTCATTCTTCCTTCAAGGAGAAAGATCACCAGAACCTGGTGCTGCTGATGCTTTGTGACCTTGAGTCTGCGCCTCTGGTCCTTCACCTGTAATAGGACATTTTGGACCACGAACTTGTTGAGTTAGAGAACATGGGTTCAAATCCTGCTTCTGATAACTTGTGTAACGCAAGCAAGTCACTGAACTTTGCTGAGTTTCAGCTTTTTCAATCTTTAAAATGAGCTGATTTGGCTCGGTGGCGTCTGCCATCTCTGCCAGTTTAAGCTTTCTATCTAGATTGAGGCTCAATTCCTAGACTGGTTTTCATGAAAAACAGTTTTCTTTTTTTATCCTGAACTTAATCATTAAACAGTTTCAATATTAAAAAAAAAATCAAAGACATGAAGTTGTGAACTTCTATTAATGTGAAATTAAAATTTTTTTTTTATTCTGAACTTAACATCAAATAAAATGAGCATTCATTTCTCCATTGAAAGTAGATTGTAAAAAGGATTGTACATGAAACTGAATCTCATAAGTACAGCTTGGTTTTCCTTTTAAGTATATAATCATTTCAACAGGGAACTCTTCCTCCCCCCAACATGGTACTTTATAAGATGTCTTCCTTCTATGTTTCCTTCTGGCTTCTGTTATCTTCTGGGCATCTTTTTTTTTTTTTTTTTTTTTAAAGTGCTTTGGTGATCCTGTTTTCTTTTCTTTTTCTTTGGCAACTTATTGATCATAGCCTTCCTCTATCCCTTCCAATTGGTAAACAAAACCAAACCCTTGAAAGAAATATACACGTAGTCAAGCAAAACAGATTCCCACATTGGCTGTGTCTGAAAATGTCTCTCATGCTGAAATCTATTCATCCCCTCTGTGGCAGGAGGTGGGTGGGGAGCCTGCTTCATCTTCAGTCCTCTGGAATCATGGTTGGGCATGATGTTCATCAGCCTTCCTAAGTCTTTCAGAGTTTGTTGTTACTGCATAGATACTTCTGGTTCTGCTCCCCATCACCCTGGAGCAGTTCATACAAGTCTTTCAGAGTTTCTTTGAAACTGTCCCTTTTATCATTTCTTAAAGTGCAATAAGAGCCCCTTACCTTTGAATACCAAAATTTGTTTAGCTGTGCCCAAGTAACGGGAACCCTCTTAATTTCCAGTCCTTTGCTGTTATATAAAAGGAATTGCTATAAATAGATTAGTACGAATGGGTCTTTTTCTTACTTCTTTGCTCTCTTTGGGGCATGGGCCTGTTAGTTGTATCCCTGGATACACTGTTGTTTTTTAAAAAGTGTATATTAAATTTAATACTATGGTGACATAATTTGCCCTACTCTGAATTGTTTTGTGTACTTTTTAAATGTTTGGTTGAGATACTTTATTTAATTTTTTTAAATTTGGCATCTATCACTATCTATCCCCCCCGCCCCAGCTCTACTTTGTAACATGTATAGGTGAGCAATACAGATGGTGTCTGAAAATGTTCTATACCTCTGCCAAGAGGTGAAAACCGTGCTCTCTCTCAGTCTTTGAAGCCACGATTTGAAAGTCTTTTCTGTACTTTATGTGATTATTCTTTACATCTTTCTCTTAGTACTGCTCATTTCACTCTGTATTAGTTCATATGAATCTTCCCAAGTGGCCTTAAGTGGCTTTTTAAAAAGGCAGAGAGTAGTAGAATGTTGCTTGTACTAGGCCAAACAGAATTTTTTGAGGGGTTCTTTATTTAGGCAATTGATCATTTGAAAGCTAATTTATATTTTCTGAGCCAAAACTTGGGCTTGAAGATGATCTGGGTTTTTCTTGGTTATTTCCCCATCGGATTGAGTTAGGTGACCTCTTTAAACCTGTGGGGAGCATTTCATCCCATATGTGCTACTTCTTTTAAAAAAAAATGTGGGGTAATGCTTTTTAGCTTTTATATATTAGGTTAAAAAAAAAATTAGGTCATGGCCTTCTCCCTCCCTCTTTCCCTCTCTCCCTCCTCTCTTTAAAAACTTATCAAGTGACTGAGTCAGATACCTGGGGATACTGTCACACTCCAGATCTCCGGGGTCTTCCGAAAAGATGACACTGTCTATACAGAGCTTGAAGGGATTGAAGAGGGTGTGGAGTTTAATGACCTCATTTTTCAGGTGAGGAAATTGAGGCCCAGTGAGGTGAAGGGACTTGCCCAAGGTCCCACAGGGAGTAAGTACCTGAGTTGAGATTTGAATCTGGTCCTCTGACTGTGCTCTTTTGACTATACCATACTGCCTCCTGGAGGCATTAAAACGAGTGGTCCCAAGCTTTGGCTTCACTCCAGGGCTGGAAAGACGTGTCCAGTTGTGCTTAGGTATAGGGAAGTGCCTACCCAGATGTGCCCCCTTCCCCCCAGCCTTAATTTGGCTTTTTGCCTGAGCCTTGGGAGTGACTCCTTTTGGTGACTGCTCTCCTATTTCCCATGTCCTCAGAGCAAAGCTGCCGAGTCGGACTATGAAATTTATTAGGCTAATTTTTCTTTTAAAGCAACAGTTGCACAGAATATGTGTTGGAAGGGACCTCTGTGGCCGTCTAGTGTGAGCTACACCTGAAGAAGATCCCCTTCCCTCCTACAGTATATCACGCAGTGAGCCGTCCTCCAGGGAAGGGAAAAGTCACTCTGCCTGCAGACGATGCGTTCCGCTTTGGATAGCTCTGATCTTCCAGAAAAACTTTCATATATCAGCTAAAATATGCTTCTTTGTAACTTTCAACTCCTGTTCTCAGTTCTTTTCCTTGTGGCCACATAAGTCTAATCTCTCCTCACTTGCCAGACTTGGAATTTCTCCAACTACCTCATTTAGGGCATTGTGAGGAGCATTATAGTAACTCCAGAAGTGTTATTTTTTTTTAAAAACTGTAACAGATTTTCCCAACTCTAAATGTAGACCTTGAGGGACACTAGGACACTGAGGAACAATAGAGTAACTTTTTGGTAGTGGCTCTTGAAAATGGTTATAATTTCCCCAACTCTAAATCCAGACTCTAAAAGGCTGCTGTAGGGAGTATTGTGATTACTCTGAAAGGATTAGCTAGAAATGAAATGAGAGAATCAGGGCATTAGTCTGTTACATGTTTATACTTCACTTCATGTTTGATGGGTGGAATTATGGGGAAGTTAGTGGTTGGTACTGTCCTGAGAGAAGGCTTTGGAGGGACTGGTCTCGTTGTTAATTGTGAATTCATAGACTCTCAGACTGAAGAGAGCTCAGAAGGCACATACCCCAAGTATCTATACATAGCAGATAGGAAGTACACCACCTAGCTGCCGCCTTATTTGCTTTTCTTACTTATTGTTCCTAATTCTTGCCTCTTGGACCATGCAAAACAAATGTAATCTCTTACGTGATAGTCCTAGAGCTATTTGAAGGCTTTTTTTTTTTTTTTTTTTTTTGCCTTGACTCCACTAAGTCTTCTTCATGTCAACACCTGGCCCTTTCTTCAGCTGATATCAGTCCTCTCTTCACCATTCTGAGTATGGGTGTGTGCATGTGCGCGGGTGTGTTTTAAGACGGTACCCAGAGAGATTCGGGAAAGTGCTTCTGTTAATGCTGGAGAATACATTAGCTTCTCTGGCTGCCGCACTATACTAACAGTCCGAAATCAACTGGTCCATTTTTCCCTTGGCTTGTTACCTGTGAAACAGCTTTTCTTTTTTTACCTAAGTCTAATATCTGTTACATTTAACTTAATTAGATTTATCTCATCATTTTAGTTTTCTGTTTTTAGATCTAACATGTTTTTAGCCCCTGATTTCATATCTTCCTCGAACTTGACAGGTATGCCATTTTGACCTTGAAGTCAGTCACTTAGTAAAAATGCTGATAAGAATAAGACCAGAAATTAAAAGCTAAAAGACGTGGGTCCTCAGAGGCCTTCTATTTAGCACAACCCCTCTCTTTGTTATTTTTTCCTTTTTAAAAAAATTCTGAACTTAAAACACCAACTAAAATGAGTGCTTTTCATATACACAAGAGAACAGAAAGAGTGGTACATGGAACTACTAATCTCTTATGTATGGCTTGCTTGTCTTTTTAAGTATGTGATGAGTTCTGCATGTTAAATTCCAAGCAGTCTTGTTTGTCCACGATTCTTTCCTGGCCATCTGTTTGGAGCAATGACAAAAACTTGCTTCAATGACCCTTTTTTTCTCCCTGTCCCTTGCTCCCCACTCCCAACCCCCAAATTGAGAGAAAAGATAAATAAAACCTTTGTAACAATTATACATAGTTGAGCAGTAGAAATTCCTGCATTGGCTATACATTAAAATATGCTTCATTCTACGTTTTGAGTTCCTCACCTCTTTGTCAAGTTTTTGTAAAGCATGCTTTATCATCTATTCCCTGGGAAAGGGAGCCCTACAGATGTTCAGTGACTTGAACGGTGAATGTCATGGGATAGGATATTATCAGGCAGGATTTGAACTTGGGTCTTCTCCCTCTAGAACCAGATTGAAGGTCACAGGTAGATATGTGAGGCATTCTATTAAAGATCTTCCATCAAAGCTGATTAAAGATCCATTCGTCACTCTTTTGGTATGGTCATTGAACCATGTTTGCCTAAGTGTACTATTATTTAGCCCACATCCCTTTTTCTTGTTTGCAAGGATTGTCTGAGAGATTTATTAATTTAATATTTATTAATATTTAATAATTTAATTAATCTCTTATCTATGGTGTTCTTCCAATATACTAATCTGGTAATCCAGTCAAAGGAGGAAATCCTTTTCAGTCAAAGGACTGGATCCTTATAGACAGCTCCTTCAATAATTTGTTTCTTTTTCCAGGACTCAAGTTGGCCTGTGGTTTTAGTAATGTACCCTTTTTTCTTTTCTTTTTTTTAAGCAGTTCTACCTTCTCTCTGATGCCCATTGTAATCCCTTTCTCCCTAAGCATCACTCTTAACCCTTCTTTGATCATGCATTTTCACCCAGCTGAGCTTTAAAAGTAACCTCCTTTGTTTTGCTGGTAGTGTTCATTCCTGCTTTGCTGCAGTTTAGCTTTTCTGACAGTTGCTTCTTTTGTATGTTTTTTAAAGATACTCCTTTTCTTACACTGAAATTGCTCCCAATTATTCTCTCCCCCTTGGTACCTTAACCCCATGACAAAAAAGTGAAGCAACGTCTTGTGATACTGCATCCGACAAAATGTGTCCCACTCCTAACTGTAGTTTGTCATCTCTTTCTTGAGAGGAGAATTCAATTCCAAGATTAGTCATTTGGAATGAACACCATTAATTAATTAACATTAATAGTTGCACTCCTTATCATAAGGAATGAAATAAAGGAGGAAAAAAGTTACTTTGTTTCTTGGAACTCTGGTTTCTTCCTCATTAAAATGAGAATTGTAGACTACGTGGTTTACGTTTTCTTCTTGCTCTTAATACTCGTTAATTTAGTAAAAAAAAAAAATACAACAAATGAAAGTATAATAATTTCATACATTTTAACTCATAATTGAAGGTGCTATGTTTACTTATACCCAAGAAACTTAATGTTTGAGAAGTTCTTGAAAACATATTTTACCTAATTCTTGCAACATGAGGCAATATCCATTATGTGAGTCTCTCTCTTGTTTTTAGGCTGTGACACTTGACCCCAATTTTCTTGATGCATACATCAATTTGGGAAATGTCCTGAAGGAGGCGCGTATATTTGACAGGTGAGGGAATGTTATGTTAGAAACAAAATGTTCGTGTTTTCTTTGGGCTCATTTGCTAATATTTCACAAGCCTTTTGATTCAGGAGTGCTTTTCTTTTTCCAGGGGAATTTGTCAGTTATTTCATAGTGTTCATTGCTCGCTTGTTGGTCCTTATATAGCACTACTCCTTCTCTGTAACTCACTCCACTAATAACATTAGCTTATGTTTACATAGTACTTGAAGGTTACATAATGTAGGAGCTTGGCGATGGTAGGAGAGTAATAATCCCAAACCTAGTCCTCACTCTTGAAAAGATGGTTGGAAGCTAGTGTAGTACCCTAAGCCTAAATGGACCAGGAGGCCTGAGGCTTTTGAAGGCACAGTGTCAAAACAATAGAAAAGAAAGAGGAAGGGCAATTCTGCACCATGAATACCTTAAATCTCAGTGCTAAGGAATCCAAGAGTGACCTGCCATGATGTCTTTTGCGTGGCATAAGTGTTCTTCCCTTCTTTTAATGCTGTGTTTTTTAAGGAGCCGTTCTTTGCCGAGGAAGAATTGCCTTTTCATTTTGGATTAGTATGGATAAATGTGTTCCCTTGTCTAAAGGGCTAGATAGTTTTAAAGAAATTTCTTTACTTGGGAGGTAGTTTTATGCTTTGCAATATTAATAATTTGGAGTTGATCTTGACAATTTATTGACAGGGGCTGGTTGAAATTAAGCAAACTCTTCTTGTTTCCCGCAGCCCCCAATCACCGTGCCTTGCAGTTCAATAGGTAGGATTGGCTGACTGGCCTACAGCTCATTTCTAGCAGAGAACTGCAACATAACAGGGCGAGCCACTCTGCCCAAGCAGTGACTGTGCTGGGGAGGGCATCTGCACAGATGTACCCTCCCTTTTAACCTGGACCTGTTAGTAAGGAAAAGACACGTGGAGTGTGAAATATTTGGTGTGTTAGACTGTGCATGGAAAGTACATTCCTTCCGAGATCAAAATCTTTTTGCCCAGTATATAGTGTATGTTATCTGGAGCAAGCTTTGCTGCTTTAGAATGAAGTTAAGCCTGTTTTTCATGTGTTGGATGTTATAAATGTGCTTTTGTGTTTACAGAGCTGTAGCAGCCTACCTTCGAGCCCTGAGCCTGAGCCCTAATCATGCAGTGGTGCATGGCAACTTGGCGTGTGTATACTATGAACAAGGCCTCATAGACCTTGCAATAGATACCTACAGGCGTGCTATTGAGCTACAACCACATTTTCCAGATGCTTACTGCAACCTAGCCAACGCTTTGAAAGAGAAGGGCAGTGTAAGGAGGATTTTTTTTTTCTTTCTTAGTAAGCTGGTAGGCTCAAAAAAAGGAGCATGCTTTTTTATTAGCAGTGACTTGGAGGTAAAGGTAGAAAGCAAAACTAAATTTGTATTTTAGTAGGGAAAAAGGAGGCAAATGTCCTTTAGGGGTAGACTAGGGAATGCCCTGTACTTCTTATATACCAATTCCTATTTCCTGTTTTTTTCCTGGGAAATTTCCCATGGCGAGGTGAAGGGATGGGTGGAATGATGGCAATGGTAGCAGAAAAGCATTTGAAAAGAAACTGATTCTGCAGCCATTTGACTTAAAAGTAGGTCAGGACAGCAGCCACCCCGAGATTCATTGGCTTCTGAATAATCTCTCTTTCATTTTCTAGGTTGCTGAGGCAGAGGACTGTTATAATACAGCTCTCCGTCTTTGCCCCACCCATGCAGACTCCCTAAATAACTTGGCCAACATTAAACGAGAACAGGGGAATATTGAAGAAGCGGTGCGCCTGTATCGAAAAGCCCTTGAAGTATGTTGATGGTGGTGGCTTCTATCGTATGTGATAATGGAGTTTAGTTAGTGATAGGAGCTCTCTAGCACTGATAGAGCCTTTACAATTATTACCGTATTTCTTCCTCATAACAACCCTAGGAGGTAGGGCCCAGAAATGTTCTCATTTTTAGGATTGGGGTTAGACGTGGTTAGAAGGGTTAGAGTCAGGCCGACTCTTAACGTCTTACAGATGAAGAATCTGAAGTGAACTTGCCCAGGATCGCCTAGCTAGTAAGGATCTGAGATCCAATTTAAATTTGGTTCTTCCTGGACTCTTCCTGGGCCAAGGTTTGTTCGCTGTGGCGCCCCCCCTAGCGGCCACTCCTGTGAGAGAAAGGGCATCTCCTGGGGTATAGCTCTGTGCCAGGTCCTGGGTGGGAAGAGAACAAGGGTGTGATCCTGAAGGAGTGGCCGTTTTACTGGAGGGACAAGATGTGCTGATAGAATTGAGTGAAAGGAATTCAGTGGGAACAGTACAGTTGGGGAGCAGTGTGGCCACCAAAGAGGGGGTGACCCCTGCGCAGGGTGTCGGAGGAACGGGTGGGGAAAGATGGTGGTGGGGAGTGAAACCGGTGAGACAGCAAAGCCATACTCAGACGCTTGTGATGACTTTTTCTAGGTGTTCCCAGAGTTTGCTGCTGCCCATTCAAATTTAGCAAGTGTATTACAACAGCAGGGGAAACTGCAGGAAGCCCTGATGCATTATAAGGAGGCAATTAGGTAAGGACTTAGAACCTAGAGTTCTGGTAAGAACCCCAGGGAAGCAGAGAGCACTGGAAAGTTTGCATCTGCAGACTGACCATATGTAGGTGGGTTTGGGACAGCACGAAATGCTCCAGTGGCTTCTAGCAGGAGGCCAGAGGGAATGAACGTTTTAAGAGAGTAAAGATTTTTCAGTTCTTCTTTAAAAAGAAAAAGGCTGATTTTGATTCTCTAACTCAGGATCAGTCCTACCTTTGCTGATGCTTATTCCAACATGGGAAACACTTTGAAGGAGATGCAGGATGTTCAGGGGGCGTTGCAGTGTTACACCCGGGCCATCCAGATCAACCCAGCCTTTGCTGACGCACACAGCAATCTGGCCTCCATTCACAAGGTAACCATTAGGACAGTTTCTCTCTCGCTTTCTCTTTCTCTCCCTCTTTGTCTTTGTCTCTTTTTCTGTTTCTTCCTTCAGTTTTTGGAGCTTTCCTGGTTTTTTTCTTCTACTCATAGGATTCAGGTAACATTCCAGAAGCAATTGCTTCTTACCGAACAGCTCTGAAACTAAAGCCTGACTTTCCTGATGCTTACTGTAACTTGGCCCACTGCCTGCAGGTAAGGTGTGGGACCCGATTGACTGAGTTTAAATATGCCTAGCCCGATGAGTCGCTTCTCAGGAAGACACATCAAAAGTTCAATCCTGTGTTTAAGGTTAGGGAATTAATTTCTGTTTTTAACCTCCTTAGATTGTCTGTGACTGGACTGACTATGATGAACGGATGAAGAAATTAGTTAGTATTGTAGCTGACCAGCTGGAGAAGAATAGGTTACCTTCTGTGCACCCTCATCACAGCATGCTGTATCCTCTTTCTCATGGCTTTAGGAAGGCTATTGCCGAGAGACATGGGAACCTCTGCTTGGACAAGGTGTGGGGCCGCTTGGTTTGTGCTTGTTCACTGCATCTATCCTTTTATGGACATAATAGTACTGCTTGATAGGATGCTGAAACAGTTTTCTTGACTAGTTAATTGAAAGTGTTGGGGCAACGAGGGGAGAACCCCTTTTTGCTTAAACCTGTGCCTCCCCACAGGAATGTGGGTAGCCTGTCATGGTAGTTTCGAATCCACTGGCATTGCTCCATTGCCTCCAGGGGCAGATTAGAGTGTAAGGCACATTGCACCGTTTGAGGGTTTCAGGATTGCACTGAACTGGCTTTATAAATAAAATGTGAAGTATTTTGAAAAAAGTTTCCCAGCAGGTAAGACGGTATTGAATTTTTACTTTTATATATGAAGTAAGGAATCTTTAGACTTGACCAGTATGTATTGGATTCCTTTGTTAGATTAACGTCCTTCACAAGCCACCATATGAACATCCAAAAGACTTGAAAGTCAGTGAAGGTCGACTTCGTGTAGGATATGTGAGTTCTGACTTTGGAAACCATCCGACTTCCCATCTCATGCAGTCTATTCCGGGGATGCATAACTCGGATAAATTTGAGGTAAGCATCATGCCCATCTGTTAGGCATCAAGCATTAAGTGCTTCCTCCGTGCCAGCCACAGAAAGGTAATTCCTGACAGTGGGTTTTGTCAGGGAACTAAACCAGGATCCATCGATAGAGGTAAGGCAGCGTGGATTTGGAGTCAATGACATGGGTTTGAATGACGCTTTGTGACTTGAAACGAGTCGCTTGAACTCTGGCCTCGGCTTCTCCTTTTTCATTGGGAGACTTAGTAATCCGAAACACAGACCTAGGGGCACTTTGGTAACTCTAGGGCAGTGTCATAGATACCAGAAGTGGAAATGTGCCTCAGCTGAGTGAGGATTTCAAATTTGCTAAAGATAATTGAGTAATTTTCTGCCCCTTGGTTCCTTATTCCTTTGCTCACAGGACTTGTGGGGGTTTTCTTACCAGAGAGAGAAGAGTATGGTAACTTATCAGAAATTCAGAAATGTTTTGGTTTCTAAATTCTTGCACAGGGCCACAGTATTCTCTTTGATTGTCATTTAGAGATAATATGTGAATCACTGTGTTACTCATATAATTGAATTGGGAACCACCGAGTGGAAGTGGACAGTTCCTTGGATAAAGGCACGGTCGGCTTTCTTTGGATGGCAGAGGCAAGATCCGAAAAGATCTTGACAAGTTAGGAGTTGGGGTTGCATCTAAGGTGAAATTTGTTCGGGGCATATGTAAAGTTTCATTTAGCAGACTTTTTGAGCCCAAGTATAAGAGGGAAAGAGAAGGACCTGTGGCCAGACAGGTCTTTCAAAAGACCTGGGGATTTTAGTGGAATGTAAGCAGTTAGTCAATGACCATTTAAACACATGGTAATGTGCTAGGCACTGTACTAAGCACTGGGGATACAGAAAGAAGCAAAAGACAGTCCTTACCTTCAAGGGGCTCACAGTCTAATGGGGGAGACGACATGCACACATACATGTGACGCAAGCTATAGACTGGAGAAACAGGAAGTAACTACCAGAGGAAAGGGATGGGGAAAGGCTTCCTGTAGAACATGGGATCTGAGTTGGGACTTAAAGGAGGCCAGGGAGGTCAATAGTCGGAGCAGAGGAGGGAGAACATTCCAGTCTGGGCAGGGGCAAAGTAATGAGATACAATCTGGCCTCAGAAACTTACTAGCAAGTCATTTAGCCCTGTGTGCCTCAGTTTCTTCCTCTGTAGGATGAGCTGGAGAAGGAAATAGTGAACTACTGCAGTATCTTTGCCAAGAAAACCCCCAGATGGGGTCATGAAGAGTCAGACATGACTGAAATGATTGAACGAGATGTGTTTGAAGCAACATAAGTCCAAGTTGTGTCTGCTTTTTTAGGGCATTGCTGACTTATTGGTCTTGATTTCCAGGTGTTCTGTTACGCCCTTAGCCCAGATGATGGCACAAACTTTCGTGTGAAGGTGATGGCGGAAGCAAATCATTTCATTGACCTTTCTCAGGTGAGCCTCTCCAGTAGGTAGTCTCAGACAAGGTTTCAGTGGGATTAGTAGATAATTTGTATGTCTGCATTTGGTATTAAGTAACTCATAAAAAGTATGGATAGGAATTAGCTTTTGATCTGTGAGTTTCTTGCCCCCCCTAATTCTCAGTAACCATGGGGGCAAGGTTGGTTTTATTTGTACTTGAGCCGCTATCTAGAGAATCTAGATGTAGAGAATATCTAGAGAATAAAAAAGCCATAACACCAGTGGAATAGAATGGTGCCTTGGGGGAGTGGTGAGTGAAACACCTAAGGACCCACATCCACTGTGATTCTGACTTCTCTCCTGGCCTCCCTTATCTCCTGCCCTGTTTTTAGCTTTTCTCTTGCTACCAACCACGGAGTGTGGTTGGGACAAGTATGTGGTAAGTTAAGGACTGAATTGCTGAGGATGAAGATTTGTTTTTCCTCTTTCCTGGAATCTGTCGTTCATGCTGGCATATTTCCTTGTTAGTCATCAGATGTGAGAAACAGGAATTGATGAAGTTGAAAGGGTTGGGCTATCTGGCCTCTAGGGACCTTCCTCTTCCCAGTTTGGGGTGCTGTGAAGTCATAGGGCTTGCTATTCAGGTTCATGGGAAGTTTTCCCCATGATTTCTTGGTCAGTGGTTCTCCAATGTTAACAAACCTTCATGAGAAGCTTTGAAATCTTTGCATTTTACACTTTGAATGTAAAAATGTTCTCCACCTGATACGCTTAGCGGACTCTTTATCACTCTTCAGATTCCATGTAATGGGAAAGCAGCAGATAGAATTCATCAGGATGGGATCCACATCCTTGTGAATATGAACGGCTACACCAAGGGTGCACGCAATGAACTCTTTGCTCTGAGACCAGCTCCTATTCAGGTAGTGTTAAATGGCGATCATTGCCCAGAAAATGCTCAGATTCTGTGAAGGTGATGTCCACACACCTGCTCTCTAGCAGCCGCTGTTCCAGACCAATGAAATGGGCAGGTTATTTTGGCTAAAAGGCCCGGATCTCTGTGTGCAGGGACCATGAACTTATTTATAAAGCAAACACTACTCTGGTGATTGTGTTCTCCATGGGAGTGGGCAGGGAGGAGCCTTCAGAGTACACATTTTTTGTCTCTGTCCTCTTGCTGAATTCTTGGTATAGTGTGTTCGTTATATTGGGACCTTTTCAGAATCCTGTTTTTAATGCATAATTGTTTTGATTGGGGTTTTTTTGTAGGCAATGTGGCTGGGATACCCTGGGACTAGTGGTGCACTTTTCATGGATTATATTATCACAGATCAGGAAACTTCTCCCGCCGAGGTTGCTGAGCAGTACTCGGAGAAATTGGCTTATATGCCAAACACTTTCTTTATTGGTGATCATGCCAACATGTTTCCTCATCTGAAGGTTTGTAGAGAACACAGGGGTTTGGGAAATACCCAGCAACTCAGTCTTTTGTTTCAGTTGGGATAAAACTGAAGGAAGTGCTCTCGTGCATTTACTTTAGTGACACCTCTTTTTCCCCCACCAGAAAAAAGCCGTCATTGATTTCAAATCCAACGGTCACATTTATGACAACCGAATTGTCCTGAATGGTATTGACCTCAAGGCATTTCTTGATAGTCTACCCGATGTCAAAATTGTGAAGGTGAGAGAGTCTGCCTATCAAAAAGTGGGTAGTAACCTTCATGTTCTTGAGGCAAATGCTCTGTGAACCTCCAAGAGCCCTATCACTGATGCGCTCACTCCTCATTGTCGTCGTCTTGTCGTCATTAGATGAAATGCCCTGATGGAGGAGACAGCACAGACGGTAGTGCGGCTCTCAGCATGCCTGTTATTCCCATGAATACGATTGCAGAAGCTGTGATTGAAATGATTAACAGAGGACAAATTCAGATAACGATCAATGGATTCAATATTAGCAATGGACTAGCAACCACTCAGGTGAGGCCTGGCAGACAGACTCCTGCTCTCAGAGCGCTTCTTGTCAATTCATTCAAAAATCTTGCACGTGTGTAGAAGGGTTGACTGAAGAGGGTCCGTAATGTAACACAGAGACTCGGAACGGGCACCTGAGACTTGTGTAGCAGTGCCTGTGAGGTAGGTTAAGAGAATGGGCGAGCCAGACCACAGGTGTGAACCATGGCCCCCCAATTAAGGGAAGAGGAGGGACTTTAACTGGACCTCAGAAGATAAGTTGGATTTAGGTAGAAGAAGTTTCAGGATGGGCAAGAAAATGGGTTAGACAGACTGGCTGGGCTGGGACAGGAACGTACTTTTGGGGAGATGGTGAGGTTGAAAGTTGGTTAGGGGAGGTGAGGCCTTAGAAGCCTCATGGTAGTTTTGGCTTTACCCTGTAAGCTGTGGCCAAGTTGGAGAGGTGGGGGCCTTGATTTTCATGTCTTTCTCACGTTGCTCCTTCTAGTAGTGATGAGATACCCCTTAGCTCTTGGGAGGATTCCAGGAATTGGCTTCTCTCTCCCTTCTTCCTGGAGGGAAGCAGACAAAATGTGTGCTGCTCACTTGGGCATTTTTGGTCATTGGCCATTTCTCCTGCGGTGGAATCATTTGGAAGAGACCCCTGGGGCCACCCAGTCTCTCTTGTTCATTGAAATGTTAATTCTTTCCCAGATGGCCTGGGCCTCTCTTGCATTAATTTCTCTTCGGGTCTCTTCACTCCCAGTTCCTGGTCGTCTGAGTGCCTGCTGTGCCCTTTATTTTCTGACGCTATAATAGACTACTTCTTCTTCTTCTTCTTCTTTAAGGCAAAAAACTCCAAATGAACCTAAACAACAAAGGCCACAAGAGCAACAGCGATTTGGGTCCTGGCAGAACTTTGCTTTTTATTCCATGCGACCTTTATTGTTTCTTCCCCACAGCCACCTTGTTCAGTTTTAGCTAGCCTTAGTGGAATGTCAGTGGAGTTGGCTGTTTGCCTGATTAGATTGGGGCGTGGGGCATGAGGCGTGAGGGGTGGTTAGGGCCTGGACCTGTGGCTTCCTTAGCATATGGGACGCTACCCATGCGGGCTGGCACCTGCTCCATGAGCACCGAGAGGATTAGTGCCTTGCCCAGGGTCAGTCACATAGCCAGGTTGGGTCAGAGGCAGCGCTCGAACCCAGGCCTTCTCAAAGTGCACAGTCTAGCTCCCTAGTCTCCTTCCAGGTCTTTCTGAGTCATGACCGGGTTCCAGCTTTGGAATCTTGTACTGCTTTTTGAAGTTTCTTCACTGTGAAATGGAAGCTTTGGTGGATAAGTGTTTTTGTTGCAGATTAACAACAAGGCTGCAACAGGAGAGGAGGTTCCCAGGACCATCATTGTTACCACTCGCTCTCAGTATGGGTTACCAGAGGATGCCATTGTGTACTGTAACTTTAACCAATTGTATAAAATTGACCCCTCCACCTTGCAGATGTGGGCAAATGTGAGTATGTACAGCTGCTTTGTTTGGTTAACTTGGTTAGAGCATCAGGTTGTCAGACCACCGGAGCAGCCTTCCCTGTTGCAGGCAGCAACCCTTCAGCCCAGGATCGGTGTTTACTTACTCCTGTTTCTTGCTTCTCCCAGACAATCGAGATTCTTGAATGATTTTTAGGGTTACTGTGGTTAAGTGTTTTTGAGTATGGGAGTGGGAGGCAGATTGCAAAGAGTAGAATCAGCTCGAATTAAGCCTTTGCTTGCTTAGGTTGGTTTGTTTCTAAAGTTTCCTATCGCAGAATGTGAAGTTTGATATGGGAAATGTGCTCTCCTTTGGGGAAAGCTGCTGTTAACACTGACAACCTCCAGCTTGCCTTGATGTTGTCTTCTGACAAAAAGCCCTCGAAGTGCTTATGAAACAGCTGAGAAGAGCAAGGCTAGAGTGGGAGGAGGAAGGACTGAGCTGACAGGAAGCTGCTGTTTAGATGAGAAGAATAAGCGCAATTAGGTCCCTTCAGGAGCTGCTTTGAGGAGAAAGGGCACGAGGAAGCCCAATCCAAGGACCTTCTCCAGGCCTAGAAGGAAATTGGTGCATTGTGTGTATTGATGTGGAATCTTTGCACTGCCATGGGCACAAGCCTAATTTGCCACTATCTAAAATGGAAAATTGGTTGCGTTTTCTTTGCCCCCGATAGCTTTTCTTCATCCCTTATTAAGAGCAACTGAAGATAGCAGAAAACAGTGCTTCTTGGGGATGAAGCGGTAAAACAAAGGTTGCTTTTACTCTCCTGGTTTCCAGATTCTGAAGCGGGTTCCCAATAGCGTGCTGTGGCTGTTGCGTTTCCCAGCTGTAGGAGAACCCAATATTCAGCAGTATGCACAGAACATGGGCCTCCCCCAGAATCGGATCATCTTTTCTCCAGTTGCTCCCAAGGAGGAGCATGTGAGGCGAGGCCAGCTAGCTGATGTCTGCCTAGATACGCCACTCTGTAATGGGCACACCACTGGCATGGACGTGCTGTGGGCAGGTACCCCCATGGTGACCATGCCAGGTAAGCCTCCCCCCCTGCTTGGCTTTGTTTGGGGGATGGTCCTGACAGATAAGAGCTTTGAATGTATTTTTTTTTTTATTTTTTTTGAATGTATTTTCTTAAGATGGTCTGCTGTCTCCTTCATTCCTCTTCTTATCGAGGATGATTAATCTTCCAAGTCTTACTTAAATAGGAGATTTTCTGCAAGATGCATAAATGTGTTGCCGTTTCCATTACAGGAGAGACTCTTGCTTCTCGGGTTGCTGCTTCCCAGCTCACTTGCCTTGGTTGCCTTGAGCTTATTGCAAAAAATAGGCAAGAGTATGAAGATATTGCTGTAAAACTGGGCACTGATCTAGAATAGTAAGTAAATTTTTTCATAGCAAAGGTAACATTATAAAGTGGAGGGAATAAAGAATTTACAGGTTATCGTAAAGGTTTGGGATTACTCTAAGCCATTTAACATGTCTCTGAAAAAAATGTAAGTGACAGAAGTTTGGTTTTTAGTATAGCCTGCCATGCTGCCATCCTACAATTCTAATCGACAGAGGGCTTTCTCTCCCCGCCCCCCGCCCCCCCCCAAAAGAAATTTCAAAGATAGTAGTTGGGTGAAATAAAGAAAGTGGTCTCTGGGCTGTACGATTTTTTTGGGGAAAGGAGCAAAGTCAGTAAATCTTGTTTCAAGTGGTTGGGGGTGAGCAGGATTTTAAACTTTGTCCCTGACTCTCTTCAGCAGTGAGGCTATAGGAGGCAGACCAGAGAAGAGAGAACTGTATGAAACAAGAAAGATGCTCAGTACTGGATTTAAAAAATTGTGATGTCCAATTGTGATTTTTCTCTGTTTTGATTTGATTATCTCTTCCTCTTTTCCCTTCTCTCTCTTTTTCTCCCCTTTGTCTCTGTCTTTCTATTTTTCACCCAGTCTGAAGAAAATCCGTGGTAAAGTCTGGAAGCAGAGAATATCCAGCCCTCTCTTCAACACCAAACAGTACACAATGGAACTCGAACGCCTTTACCTTCAAATGTGGGATCACTATGCAGCTGGAAACAAACCAGACCACATGATTAAGCCGGTTGAGGCCACAGAGTCGGCATAAGAGATTCTGTACACATAGGAGAATTATCCCAGGACGTGAGCCTCTCAAGCCTCTGTGCAAAGGGAAAGGGAGCTAGAGACCCCTGCATTTCTACATATCTGCCCAATGCCATGTGACATGCACAATGGTAATAATATCGCACACTAGGGAGAGACAGTAGAGATGGGGAACTGCTGTCCCACAAGGAATCTGCACACAGGTGTTGTGTAGGTATGGAAGCCGTGATTGAATGGGATGCTTGCTAGGGGAGAGAGAGATTGCCCAGCCACTTGCAATTCTATGGATTGATTGAATCTTCTTTGAATTCTTTTTTCTTTATTATATTGGGGATTGGAGCTTTTAAAAATGTTTAATTTCAGGTATTCCCATTGGCGTGCGGGGTTCTCTTCCCAGGATTTGGTTTTCAGCAAAAATGTCGTTCCTTACTCCATCAGTGACGTTTCAGCTTTTGAGCCATAGATTCAGAGGGCATCTTTGCTGGTGTAGGCTTTTTATAGGTTTTATAAACCACTTGAGTCTATGTCAGCCTTGTACTGTCTGACCTGGTGATTGGAGCTGTTTGTGCTGTTGGTTTTGATGATGACTTTTTGTTCTGTATTTTTGTTTCGTCCCCCCCGCCCCCGTCTTCTTCCACTTCTTGGTTTTTATTTAAAACAAGCAAACAAGCAAACAAAAACCCCCTCCTCGGACTCGCCTAATTGGCTTCTTTGGCAGGAAAACCAGACTTAGGCTATCATGCAAATATTCCCAAAGTGTTTATTTTAAACATACTGGTGCCAAATGCCAATTTTGCCGAAGTGATTAGTAGTTATGTAAAGGCACAGTCGTGGTACTGTTGCAGAGAATAAATCATTTTTGTTTTCCAAGTTTTGCCCCGCCCTCCCAGCGTTTACTGTTGTCAGAAAGTGATAGCGTGCACAACTTTTTGGCTCCATTTGGATGGTTTGGATTTTTCTTGAAATTTTCCTTGTTCTTCCTATTTCTTGTAGCAGAAATGAAAGCCCAGGTAAGTATTCAGTCATTTCATTCAGTAAATCATGATTACCTCCAAACATTCAGTCAATTTCATTGAGAAACAGTGTCGTTTGAGAAGCTTTGCAGGCCTCCTGCAGAACGTTCAAAGGCATTGCATCCAAACAGTCTTTCCATCTGGACCTTCAAGTATGTGATGTACAGCTTTTGCCTCAATAGTGGCTTGACTGCATTGCTGCTTGAATTCCGAACAAGACCTCAGCCCTGCTGGTGCTGGAATAGAAGTATTCCCGAATTTCAACAAAGGGCTTGAAGTTTGAAACAAGCCGACATATGAGTGTGTATCATGTCTAGCTGTTCTGTTCTTACTGCTGCTCGGTAAGAAGTAAGTATTTGTCTGCTAGCAGTGCTGCTTGTAGGTGACCATTTGTGGCTGAGGCCTGGGTTTGCTTCACCTATTTAGTAGCAGCTGAGGCTGTGACTGGCTTCTAGCTGACAAATTCTTGACGAGCCACTGTCAGACGCTTTGGGCTTCTGACAAAAGCTTACTTACCACCGAACAAAATCTGAGCAGGAACCCTCAGATGGAATTCTGGAAGTAGAATTCCTTAGGTATGAACTGCTCCTTTCAGCAGTTTGGGAACTCCTTAATTTATTTTTCACCTTTTCCAACCAGTAAAGGACGTCAGAGCATTTCCGTGAATGACGTTTTCAGTTCACAGATTGCCGAAAATGGATTAGAGTCAAAACTGTACCTTTCTGATGCCCTCGAGGCTGTGAGCTCCAGCCATTTCACATAGCACATCACTCCTGCATTGGAGGAATTTTTTTCCTGGTGTGGAAAGTTATCTGCTGTGGTTGAAGCTTTGCTTAATGTAACAAACAGGTTTTTGCTTCCAGGTAACGTGTCTGACGAAGACTTAATTCTGAATAGAAACATAGGTATTACTGGAAACTGATTGTCTTTTTTATTGTATTCTGCTTTATCAAAACCAGTAAAATATTTAAATCATGCTACAGAAATACAAATATTGTCTTGCAGTCTTTAAACAATAAACAGAAACATTTTCCTCTGAAGTGAAAAGTGAATGTTGTGTCATCTGTTAAATGCTAGCTGTGTACAGAGTTCAGAAGTAATTTCTTTTTTTTTAGGGTGTGAGCACTCTTTTATTAGTCTGGAGCACAGCAGCAGGGGGTGGTGTGGGCCTTTTTGACTGTCTTTGGCAGAGTTGTTGGGTTTGTTTGTTGTTGTTTTTTTTTTTTTTTTAAGTATGATTTAGCTATCCTGTCTCCTGCTCATGCTAAGACAGCTGAAGTATTAAGTGAGGAGATAGGTTTTTGCCCACAGTCAGTATGATCCTCTGGTTTGGAATCTCATTTACCTCCATTCCAGCTGTGATGATGATGATGATGATGATAGCAGCTAAGGTAGGTTTGCAAAGCACTTTACAAATACTGTCTTGTGCTCCTCACAACAATCCTGTGTGCTTGGTGCTATTATCCCAGTTTTACTGATTGATAAGGAAACAGGCATTTCAGAGGTGAAGTGACTTGTCCGGGGTGGCAAAGCTAGTAAGTGCCTGAGGCTAGATTTGAATTCAGCTCTTCTCAACTCCACTGTGCCACTTGCTTTTAGTTTGGAGAAGTGTAGCTTTTTTTTTTTTTTTTTTCCCCCTACCTCGTGCTTAGGTTAATTTATACTCAAAGACCTTTTTTTCTCCTGGCTTATTTTGTAGGTCAAAGCCTATTTTCTTGCTAAAGATGAGGAAATCTCCTTGTAACTACAAGTTTCAGCTCAGTCAGTAAATTTTTATTAAGCACCGGCATGTGCCAGGCACTGTGCTAAAATGAAAACAGTCCCCGCTCTCAAGGAGCTTCCAATCTGGGGGCGGGGAGACAACATGTAAAGGGAAGGGGGGGAAAGATACCTGGCCTGGGGGAGGGGCACTATGAAGTCCAAAAAGCAGTGTAGCTGGTGGTAAATTGGAAGTTTAACTGGCTAATACTCTAGACCATCCCACCTTGCTTATCTGGAGTGTAGGGTTAGGGGGGAGTGTTTTTAACTCTATCCTCCTAAAAAAAAAAAAAAAAACCCCACCCCCAAACTATTAGTATAGTGCAGATTAGAGAAATTATAATTTGTATTTCTGGGCCTGGGCTTTAGTGTAGACAATTTCAAAGTTGGGGTGACCTGTAATCCAATGGTATAGTATTCGAGTGTTTTTAGGTTTAGCCGAATACACATCTAGCAAGTTGCCTTCCTGTGGTCCACATATCCCCATGGCCATTTGGTCATGGTTGGGGCGGGGTTGAGGGTTGGATTTCATTGAGTAGGGTTAACAGGTGTTAGCTACAGGTCTTACTTTGCTGCTACAGCTCATATCTTGGGGGTAACGGAGGGGGGGGGGTGGAGACATACTCTAACAAGAGGCAATAAACATTAAATGCCTACTATGCCCAAGGTTTGGGCAGCTAGGTGGCACTCAGGAGGACTCATTGGACTCATCTTCCCCAGTTAAAATCCGGCTTCAGACACTAGCCGTGTAACGCTGGGCAAGTCACTTCACCCTGTTTTGCCTCACTTTCTTCATCTGTAAAATGAGCTGGAGATAAAAATGCCAAGAAAACCCCGAATGAGGCCACAACTGAACAATGCCAAAGCCCTGTGCTAAGTGACAAAAGACAGTCCCTGCCCTCATGATTGCCTTCTGAAAGCCTCGCTGATGACATCCTTAACTCTAAAAAATTTACTAATTGAGGAAGGGGAAGTGGGAATAATTGAAACATCACACTTCACACCTGTGTTGGGGAAAGTGGGGTTGGAGTAGGGAGTAGGCTTAATAAAAGAAACCTAGCCCTAAGGCACATCGAGTCATGACTACACTAAAGGCCTTAAGTTCCAGGCCTTTAGTGACCAGTCTGTGCTGTGTCCCTCACTGAATGAATGTCCCTTACTGAAAAATTTTATCTGCTGTGCTCTGATTTCCTGCTAGGCAAATCTGCTTCCTTTTGGACCACTCAGCACACTGCCACCCTTGGGAGGGAGTTGTGTGTTATCCTATCAGTAAAAATACGTCAGCAGAGTCTGGCTTTTGAATTTCTCATCTCAAGCCGTAGAGGGGAGGAAGCAAAGGCAGCAGCAGCTCTTCGTAGCATCTGCAAAGCCTGCTTCGTAGTTCCTTTGTGCTTCTATATTCTGCTTTTTGTCAGCAGTTTCTCTCATGGCCCGTGGCTTCTTTCCCTGGCTTCTGACTAATGCACTCATGTATTTTCATGCTAATGCCGCAGGTTGGGACCTATTCGTGAGCAGTGATCTATTTGTACCTCAGCTTGGGAAAAAAAAAAAAAAAAAGACCAAAAGTACAGTTCTAGCAGGTGTTAGAGCCAATGTTCCAATTTTCCCCTAGTTCACGACCTGTGATTTATAGTTTCTCTGTCTAGTCCCTGAAGTCACATTTAAATGAGCTGAAGGACAATGCCTGGAGGCCACCTTCTCCTCTAATCAAGCCTTTTACTTCTCTGTGTGAGACCTGCTTGTGTCTCAAGCATTTTGAGTTTTGTTTCTTCTCAAGTTCACTTGATCAGTGTTTCACACAGAAATGCTTTTTCTGCCTTTCAGCCACCCAAACGTTCACAGAACAAAAGGCACAGCACAAATACAAGTTTTTTTGCCCTGCCTGTGCATCCTTCAAGAATACAGTTACCGTCCTAACTTGATGAGGCATTGGAGGAGGCCAAAATCAGTCTGTGAAAGTGGAGCTAAGGGAGCTCGCTATCTGAGACAATGAAGCGGAATTTCACATCGGTAACTGTACAAGCAGATGGTGTAACCTAAAACTAAAGGGCTTTTTTGGGGGGGTAGGGAGAGATGACAGCAGCAGTGCCAGTGGAAAACAGCAGACTCATTCGAAGCACCCCCGCATCTCCCGTAACAGGAGAAAAGCTGTAGGGTTTATAAAGCATTTTACTTAATTCTTTTGAGTCTGGAAATGTTGTGAGTAAATCAATCTTCCTGGGCTGTTTCCTCATCTGTAAAGATGAAGGAATTGTACTTTGGGCGCTAGAGCTAGGATTTCTACGGTATTCTGGATAGTCCCTTTTAACGGACAGAGCAAGTGACAAACTACGAGAAGGGTCCCTTGAAATGTTAACGCTCCCCATAAACTACTGGCCCAGGTAATACTCAAACTGGTTTTTTTCCGGTCGTCTCTTTCCACTTTCGGCTGCCTTCAGTTTCACTTTCGCTTTTAGTAACTAACCATTAGCCTTTCTCTGCGTACCTCGCTCCCGGGGCCTTGACCTGGTACTTGCAGGACTCTCTAATGAGTGCCTCTCTATAACGAAGTTTATTCCACTTAGGTGCCCCCGCCCCCGTCCCCGGGGTCTCATCGAATGCTTCCCCCCCCCCCCCCCCCCCCCCGGCTTCCACTCTGCTCTGCTGTTCCCGCCCCCTTTCCCCCTTCTCCCGCAATCTGTCGCCCTAGGGTTGTGGCTGAGGGGACGGCTGGCCCCTCTCTGCCCCTAGGAGAAGGCAGGGGCTGCCTGGTATGGTCTCCCGGGCTCAGGTGCTTGCTGCACCGGCTCGAACGGAAGTGGAAGGTGCGGTGGGCACTAGGGGCAGCGGAAGCTCGGGTTGAGTGCTAGGCCCTCCCTCCCCGGTCCTGGGAGGGGGAGGGAGGAGAGTGAGGAGAGTGACGCCCAGAGGAAAGGGGGCGGGGGAAATGCGATCCGAGGAGGCACCGGAAGTGGGGCTGGGCCGAGCCGGCGGCGCTGCCGGAAGTGGCACGAGGCCGGCGCCCGCGCCAAATTTGAGAGGGCCGCCCGCTCGGGAGGAGCACCGGAAGTGGGGCTGGGCCGAGCCGGCAGCGCTACCGGAAGTGGCACGAGGCCGGCGCCCGCGCCAAATTTGAGAGGGCCGCCCGCTCGGGAGAAGGAGCGCCGGAAGTGGGGGTGGGTCGAGCCGGCAGCGCTACCGGAAGTGGCACGAGCCTTGAGCTCGCGCTAAATTCGAACGGTCGCACGCTCGGTTGCTGAGGAGACGGCTGTTGGCGAGCTCCTTCCCGAGGCGGACAGTGGTCGCTCCTCGGGGTCGGGGTCGACCCAGTTCGCCGGGCCATGGCGCGGGTGTTGAGAGCGGAGGCTGACACAGCCGAGCAAGGTGAGAAGGGAGGCGAAGGCCGTCCCTCCTTCCGGCTCTGTGGGGCGGGCCCGGCCTGGCTGGGGGGAGGAGGGACGGAAGGAGAAAGCGGGGAGAGGGCTGGAGTGGAAGGGGAAAAGGCGACGGAGGCGGTGGCTGGTGGGGAGGGATGCTAGGGGTTGAGCTGGGCAAGGAGGGAGGGCCCCGTGGGGGGAAGAGGGGCGGGGTGACGCGGTTGCCTAGCGATGCCACCTCGTGCTCCCCGTCTCCCCCCGTCCTCCCCCCCCCCCCCTCACCGGTCCCCCCTCGTCCCCCCCGCCCCCCCGGCCCCCCTCGTGCTCTCCGCCCCCGTCCCCCCCCTTTGTCTCCCCCTCCCCGCCGGGACTTCGCTTTTGAACTTGGGGCTCTCTCGCTTTTCCGCCTCCTTCCTTAGTCCCGCAATCCTTGGCCCCTCCCCAGCAAACCGGTCAGAGACCATTTGTAAAGCGCCCCCCCGTGTGCCAGGCACGGTGCTCAGCGTCGGGGTTACGGAAAGGCTTGCGGACGATAAATTGAGACAAGCCGCCGAGAGGGGCTGTTTGGGGGGGACCGGGAAAGGCTTCCTGTAGAAGGGAGCCACGAGGCGCCTGAGGATGAGAAGGGGGGGCGGCCAGGGAAATGCCCGGAGTCTGGAGATGACGGCGTGGCTTGTGCGAGGAATGGCGAGGAGGCCAGCCGGGGCTGGGTCGGAGACTTAGGGACGGGTGGGGGGCGGGGGGGGGGGGGGTGAGGAACGAAGAGAGGAACGGAGGAAGGGCAAGCCAAGCCGGTAACGCCGTGGCGCCCGACTTCGGAGGGTGCCCTTAAGCTTAGTTGTATGAGGAAAGAAGGCGTGGTGGGTGGGGGGGGGCTGAATCTAACCATTTCTGTTTATTTGTGTGTCTGCACGTCGTTTGCGTTTCGTTTTAACATTTTTTTTTTTTTTTTTTGTAAATAGTGATTTTGCCCAATTACACGTAAACATAGTTTTCGACATTCGCTTCTTAGAAGGTTTAAAAGGCTTCTCATGCTAAAGGAGCCGCCTCCTTCTGGGAAGGAGCAGTTATCCCCGCCATCGCCCCCAGACGCCCCCCACCCCGCCCCCGGGCACCACCCAGCCACCTGCATTTCCCATTAGTGGCTGGAATGGCATCTCTCTCTTTTTTTTTATCATTAGAAATTTTTTTTTGATTTTATAAACAATTTTTTTTAAACACGTGTTTTTAAAACTTTGGGTTCCAGATTTTCTCCCTTCGTCCCCACCCACCCTCCCACCCTCCCTGAAAAGGCAAGCATCTCGTTCCAGGTTACAGATGCGTAGTGACGCAGAACACTTGCATAGTAGCCATGTTGTGAAAAACTGAGTCTATTTCCCATCATCCTATCCCACCCCCCCCCCCCCCTTATTCTATTCTGTCTTTTGACCCTGTGCCTCCTCAGACGTGTTTGCTCCGATTATCCCCTCCCCCAGTCTGCCCTCGCTCCTGTCCCCTTCTCCCCCCATTTTCCCGTAGGGTCAGATAGATTTCTATACCCAATTGTGTGTGTGTTATTCTCTCCTTAAGCCAAATCCTATGACAATCAGATTCCCTCTCACCTTCCCTTACTTCCCCTCCACCGTAAAAGCCTTTTCTTGCCTGTTTCATGTGAGATAATTTACCCCATTCTACCTCTCCCTTTCTCCTTCTCCCAGTATAATCCTCTCTCACCCCTTAATTTTATTTTCCAGATATCATCACCCCTTCATCTTCAACTCACCCTGTGCCCTCTGTCTGTCTGTCTGTCTGTCTATCTATCTATCTATCTATCTATATACATACATATAATTTTTTTCCCTCCCACTACCCTAATACTGATAAAGGACTCATTAGTTACAAATATCATTTTTCCACGAAGGAATGTAAACAGTTCAACCTTAATAAGTCTCTTATGATTTCTCTTTCCTGTTTACCTCTTCGTGTTCCACTTGAGTCTTATATTGGAAAGTCAAATTTTCTATTCAGCTCTGTTCTTTTCGTCAAGAATGCTTGAAAGTCCCCTATTTCACTGAATGACCATTTTTTACCCTGAAGGATTATACTCAGTTTTGCTGGGTGGAATGTAATCTCTCTTAAAGGGACTCTTTGAGCTATCTTCACGACAGGACAGTTCATTTGCTCAGGGTCATAAAGCCAGCATAAGATGGGCTGCTCCAAGGATAGACTTGTACCTGTACCGTGACTCTTCTGAACAGCTTGATTTTTAAGTAGATGAGTTGACCCTGTAACTTTTAAATCTTTCCTCCTTGTCGTTGTTTCATTTTGGTTTTCAGGTTTTGTTTTGTTTTTGCTGGAGTAGGGGTGGGAAACCTATATCTCCTGTCCCCTTCTTTGGGGAAAACAAAACAAAAAACCTTTATAATAAAATTGCAAAGTCAAACAAAACAAATCCCCACATTGGCCACGTAGGAAAATGTATATCTCATTTAGTGTTAAAATTAATTAAATTAAATTAAATTTGAAAAAAATTAATTTTATTAATTTAAATTAATTTAAAATTAATAAATTAAAAATAAAAATAAATTAATTTAAATTAATTTATTAATTAAAAATTAATTAAATTAAAATTAAATCTCATTTAAATTAACATTTAATTTTAAGAGGTGGGGGGGGCATGCTTCATCACTGGTCCTCTGGAATCTTCTGTTTGACTATTTCACTGATTCTTAAGTCCTTCGAAGTAAATTGTCGTAAGTTTATTGGCATGGTATAAATTGTTCTCCTATTTCTGCTCACTTCACTGTTCGATCAGTTGATGCAAGTCTTTCCAGGTTTGGCCGTCTCTCAGGTTGTAATAATATCACATTCCGTTCATGTACCATAAATTGTTCACGCTATCCTCTGGTAGTATAGTTACCAAAAGAGTTGTCTGTACTTGTGGGTCCTCTTTCTTTGATCTTTTTGTGGTCTAGACCTAGTAATGGCTACTGGGTCAAAGTGTATGCCCAGTTTAGTGATTTTATGGGCATGGTTCCAAATTACTTTCCAGAATGGCTGGACCAATTCACAGCTCCACTAATAGTGTGTCTTTTTTCCTGCAGCTGGAGTAGGGGTGGGAAACCTATATCTCCTGTCCCCTTCTTTGGGGAAAACAAAACAAAAAACCTTTATAATAAAATTGCAAAGTCAAACAAAACAAATCCCCACATTGGCCACGTAGGAAAATGTATATCTCATTTAGTGTTAAAATTAATTAAATTAAATTAAAGGTTGGGTCAAAGTGTATGCCCAGTTTAGTGATTTTATGGGCATGGTTCCAAATTACTTTCCAGAATGGCTGGACCAATTCACAGCTCTACTAATAGTGTGTCTTTTTTCCTGCAGCCCCTCCCATGTTGCTATATTCCTTTTTTGTCATCTTTGCTAATATGATGAATAAATATGTGGTAGATATTAAAGTTGCTTTAATTTGTATTCTAATTATTAGTGATTTGGGTCGTTTTTCATATGGCTGTTGATAGCTTGAATGTCTTCCTTTGAGAGCTGCCTGTTTATGTCCTCTGACCATTTGTCAGTTGGGAAATGGTTCTTGTTCTTATGCATTTGAATCGGTTCCTTATATATCTTGGTTAAGAGACTTTATCAGAGAAACATGTTCCAAAGGTATTTTCCCCAAATAACCTTTTCCCTCATAATTTTAACTACATTGATTTTACTTCTGCATTAACTTGTAAATCTGTGTAATCAAAATTGTTCATTTTGTTGTCTTCAATCGTCTTTTCCACTTATAACAAAAGGTGTTTTCTTTGTTGTTCTTTTAGTGTGTGATATGACTTTTTATATCTAAGTCATGCATCTATTTAGAGTTTATCTTGCTATATGGCATGAGATGTTGGTCTTTAATTTTTTCCAGACTTTTTCCAGTTTTCCCAGCAATTTTTGTTGAATAGTGAGTCCAACATGTCAAGGGAGGGGAGATGGTAGATAGCCACTTTTCTCGTGGCTCAAACAGGTGACGGTCACTTGAGCAGTGTCCCAGAAGTTCCTGTTTATATGAATGCCTTTGCCAATTTTTAGATGAGTAGGGATTATGAATGTAGTAGGATTGGGATATGAAAGGGAGGTCCCCAGTGAGGAGGTGTGCTGAGGCAGCTCTGACTATTTTGCCCTTCCTTGTTCCCCGTGGCTTTCCATCACCACCTAAAACAAGGTGTTTTTTTCCTACAGACCTGAGCACTGCTGAGGAGGGACAAGAAGGACAGAACCAGAAGTGTGCCAGGTAAGGAGACATCAGGAAGCTCTTGTTTCCTGTTCTGCTTGTGTCTGTGGTTTGGCTCTTACTTGTTAGAACTAGTCGAACAGTTACTTCCCCTAAGAACAAGGGGAAAAATAACAAGGAGTTTCAAAATGGCAACCCTGGCAAGAGCCAGAGGCAGCGTGTTGGAGTAGGTAGAGCCCTGGGCTTGGAGTCTTCGGGCCTGGATTTGACCTTCTGTTAATGTGTGTGGTTCCGAGGAAGTCTCTTTGGTTTTCTGAGGGATTGGGCTGGATGATTGCTGATGCCCCTTCCAGCTCAGAATCCTCCAATTGAACCGGCTGAGGATTATTTCTCCAGACTGGCGGGTAATCAAGACTATTATTCCAAACCTTGATTTGAGAGGTTCAAAGCACTGTCTACCATGACCCTGAACACCATAGCCAGGAGCAGACAGCCCTAATGTGGGGGCTAATACAGCCCTAATGTTTCTCCTCACGGAGGAGTGTAAGCTCATTGAGGGCAAGAACTGCTCTTTTTTGTCTTTGGATTCCCAGACTGTAGCCTGGCATGTAGTGTAGTCGGGGTGGGGACCCTTTGGCCTCAAGGCCACATGGAGCCCTCTAGGTCCATGGAGGCCTTTTGACTGAGTCCAAGTTTTACAGAACCGATCTTTTTATTAAGGGGATTTGTTCTGTGAAGTTTGGATTCAGAGGGCCTCACTTGAGGACCTAGAGGGCCACATGTGGCCTTGAGGCCGAAGGTTCCCCACCCCACTGTAGATAATGAATACATGTTGTTGATTTTTTTTTTTTTTTTTTAAAGACAGTTGGGGTTAAGTGACTTGCCCAGGGTCACACAGCTAGTAAGTGTCAAGTGTTTGGTCTGAGGCCGGATTCAAACTCAGGTCCCCCTGACTTCAGGGCTGGTGCTCTATCCATTGTGCCGCCACCTGGCTGCCTCGATGCTGTTGATTTCGAAAGTGAATTTGGGCCCTTCATCTGAATTGTCGATGAAATAAATATTTTATTGATGCCTGTGGTAAGTTAGGCAACTCTCTCTCAACCGTTTGCTGACATTACTTTCAAGTTTATTATCCTTTGATTTGCTTAATTACCATTTTGTTGACATTCTCATAAATTGAGACCAACCTTAGTCACTGGCCTAAGCTTTCCAAAGACCAGAAGGAGGATAAACCTTTAATCAGTCTGTGAGGACAGGCTAGTAGGTTGGGGTACAGCAAACTAGGGAAATTGGACAGTATTCTCATTATGACTTTATTACTTTAAAGTGAATTCCCAGAAAATCAGGCACTGACGTTTGCATTTAAATACAAAATCAAAAAAACAGGTTGGGGACTCTCAGTAATTTGGGGTTGTCCAGCCCTTTGCCTGTCTCTCTTAGTTGGAATAATTGACAGTGATTGAAAGTACTAGACTCATTGTGGTATAAAATGGAGCACTAATCTTGGAAGCTGACTGTGAGCTTGCACACTTTGGCCAGGTCTGTTCTCCTTCTCTGGCTGCCTGCCTCTATGGCTTACCAGTGTCTTTCCTAAAAGAGACATCTATAGCTGTTCCAGATGTCTTTTTTTTTTTTTTTTTTTTTTTTTGGTTAGGCAATTGGGGTTAAGTGACTTGCCCAGGGTCACACAGCTGGTGTCAAGTGTTTGGTCTGAGGCCGGATTTGAACTCAGGTCCTCCTGACTTCAGGGCCGGTGCTGTATCCACTGCGCCACCTAGCTGCCCCCAGATGTCTTAATAGGGCAGAGAGTAGTGGGTCTGATATCTCAATCATTGAACTGCTTCTCAATTTAAACTTTTCTGATAGCCATTTCATACTCTTGGCTGATACTGAGCTTTTCATCTCTGAAACAGCCATATCTTTTTCAGACAAACTGCTTTCTAACCATTCCTCCCTCATCTGATATTTGTAAAGTGGACATTTTTGAATGTAACACCTTAAATTTATCCTAAATTACTGATAAAAAATGTCATATAGTATAGGGTCAACGGCAGATAAGTGGGGCATTTTGCTGGAAACTTCCTTCCAGTTTGATGTCAGTCCATTAATGACTGCACTTCGGGTACTGTTATCTCACCAGTTTAAGACCCAACTGATTGAGACCTTGGAACGGGAGTTGTTACTTACCTACCCACCACATGGTTTCTGAACACATGTAATGTGAGCTATATCTAGGGCTGACAAAGGAGTATTGGGGGGAAAAAAGGCATTACTAGCACTGCTGCTCCTGTTGTGTGAAGGTCACCTTGATTTAACTGTAAATTAATGCCAGGATCCGATTCCACTGAAGCCCATTTACCCTTGCGGGGATAATTAATAGGCCCTGGGCTGCTTATTTCTAGGAAAACTGTTGATGCTAACTGGCCTTCCTAGAGCATGTTAAGAGTTACCAGGTGCTTGACAGTGATTTCATTTGAGCCTCAAAACTGCTTTGTAAGTAAGCAGGACCCACTGGGGTATCCAGTTTTGCCCATGGGGGAACCTGGGGCTCAGAGCAGTTCACTGACTTAACTCATGTTTGGACACAGCCACTGTTTGCTGCTGCCTCTCGCTTTCCTTTGTGTGGAATGAGCCTGGTTTGTATTTTACGTGGGCTTTCATCAAAAAGGACTTATTTTTTTAATCAAAAAAAAGTAAATACACAGACAAGAGTGACAACTTTCCAATAATGAACAACACGATGTCTTCTGTACCTTATGGCTGTATGTAGAGTCACGTATGCATGTCTGTGCTTTCTAGTTTAAATGCCGTGGTTGTCTGCAGTGTTCTCATTCCGCTTCTGTTCACTCTGCATTATTTAGTGTAGAGTTTTCCATGTTTCTGTATATTCCCTGTGTTTTTCTTTTCCTGTGTCTCTATGGTGTCCCATTGTATTGATAAACCAGTCTGGCCATTCCCCTGTTCTTGTCCATTTACGTTGTTTCCACTTCGTCCCTACTCTAAGCAACATAGGCACAAATATGTTTTTACAAATTTTTTTCCTTTATAATTACTTCCCATCATGAAAATGGATAGGACCAGTTTTACAGCTCTTGGTAACTATTTCCAAATTGCTTTCTAGAAAGACTGCAATCAGTTTGCATTGCAGTCAGCAACGTGCATGTGTTTTCCTGCCAACGTTGGGTTTTAACAAGTCAAGACAGTAAGCACTGATTAAACACCTGTGGTGTTGGAGGGTTGTTACTGTGTTTAAGTGTCCTTTGGCTTCTGCTGACGTCATGTCATGTCAGTTCATATAAACCAGGAATCCCTGAAAATCTCTTTTTCACCATTTCTTGTAGCACAGCAGCACTTCCATCATATTTCTGGGCCACAGTGTGCTTGGCCAATGCCCAATTGTCTCAAAGGCCCTCTGAAGCGCTCCTTTGGATTTGAATTGTTTTCTCTGCTTCTCTTAACAACCCAACCCATCCCTGCTTGTTTCCCTGTTTCATTTTTCCACCAAACTGTGTGTTTGATTCTCCTTTGTTTCATGAGTGAGAAGTTCATCTAACGCTTGCTTCCCTCCCACCCTTCTTCTGTGTTTGTATGTTCTCTTCGTGTACTCCGATTTTGAGAAATCACAGATTCCACCCCTTCTTCCTCCCTTCTACACTGGTGTATTTGTGCTTTTACCTTCTCTTCTTCCTCCTCTTCAAAACCACAGAATAAAACCAAATCAACCCCCAGGACCCAAACTTTCCTGCTTAGCTCCCTCAGTACCCTTTAAAGAGATTGAGATTCTTCAGGGACACTTCTTTCTTTTCCCTTTATTAGAGTGTTGGCACCAGGACATCATACAGCTTCTTCCACTGGCTGGATTCAATTTACTTTTCTAGATTTCTCTACAGTAAAAGGGAAAGCAGAAGGGGAGAGTTCAGGGGGAAGGGAATGAGTTCTGTTGGACGTGTTGCGATGTCGTTGACGATTTGAGTATTTGTTAGTCTTCCGCCTCATCGTGAGCATTAGTACATTTTTATTACAGGGTGGAGGGCTCCTCCTAGAATTCCTGTTCCAGGCTGGCCTTCTCTTCATTCCCCCCAGGCTCCTCTCCTCTGGGACTCCTCATCCCCCAACCAGGCTTTTCAGCTTCCTTTGATGTGTTGTCTTCCTCGTTGGGATGTGAACTCCTGCCTTCCTTCTTGCTTGTTTTTGTATTCTCAACACTTGGCATGGTGCCTGGCACATTGTAAGCACTTAATGCCTAAATTATAAAGTCAAAATCTTATCAGGTCTGAAAGTTTGTGCTTAAGGTGCTCAGCACCTGTGGTCACGAGACTTGAGTTCTACTCCTGGCTCTGCTACTTGGTAGTTATGTGACCCTGGTCACATCATTTCATCTCTCAATATCTCAGTTTCCTCCTCTGTAAAATGTGAGAGTAAGCCAAAATGAAAGCTCCCTCCCAGTTTTGATGTTGTTGAGTTACACATAAAGGATGATACCATAAACAAACTAGGAGAGCATGGAACACTTTACGTGTCAGATCTGTGGAGAAGGAAAGACTTTCTGACCAAGTGAGACAGAGAGAAGTAAGATGGATGATTTTGATTGTCACAGAAACCTTTTTTATTTCTGGACACAGAACAATGATGCTTATAATCCCTTTGAATGCATATGATGGCGCTCTTGGAAGGCAGATAAACACCTATTTTAATGCCTCCCTTTTATCTTTGCAGTCCTAAAGTTTTGGAGTCTAGTAGCGATGAAGAATTTGAAACTGGTAAGTACAACTTATTCCAAACTATAATTTACATTTTCATCGACGGTTTGAAGAATGTGACCATAGATCAGGCTGAGCTGCCGGGTGGAGAGATTTGGCATGCACTGAGTGCAGCTTCATCACCCCAGTTCAGTTAATAAACTCTGTGAAGCTTATTAACCGGATTGTTAGGAACGAAGCATTCTGAAGGGTCTTGCTCTCCTTGGCTTTGTTCTCCTTTTTGCTCCTGCGTCCATTAACCTTTCTTTTGTTCTGCTTTTCCTGAGGACCAGCACGTGAGAGACAGCTTCCCCCAGGCTGGGCCATGTGGCTTCTCCGGTGCCAGGAGTCTTTGGCTATTGCATAGCCCGATTTTGCTGAGCTGTCACTTTTAAAATGTAACCTGCTTTCTAATGCTTAATGTTTCCTTTTTTATGATTTAGTGTTATCCCATGTAAAAATTCCAAAGATCTCATCTTGTTCACCTTGGGAGGAGAGAAATGACCAGTGAGTATGAGAATTATGGAAAGGGCGACATGTATAGTAGACTTGGGGTTCGGAAGCTGGAGGTTTGACTCCAGCCTGAGACATTTACTAGCATTGTGGCTTCGGGCAGGTCACTTTCTCTTCCTGGGCCTTGGCTTCCTCATGTGGAGAATGAGGAAATTGGACTTGACCTCTCAAGTCCCTTCCAGCTGTAATCTTGCATGATTCTAAGGTGGTTTCATAATGCACACCTTAAGGGCAGAGTATAGTGTAGGAGTCGTAACCCATACCTGAAAGAATCCACAGTCTGATACACTGAACGAATGGCTCTCCTCCTGAAGTAACAGAATCTCGGAATCTACGTTTTTCCTTATACTAGGCCTAAATCTGCCTCTTCATGTGACAGACCTTCACGTACTTGAAAACAGTGATCATGTCTTCTCTTCTTCAGGCCAAACATCCTTGGCTCTTTCAACTGGGATTTCTGGGCATGATCTTGAGTCCCTTTCCTTGTCCCACTTGTCCTTTTCCAGATCCTGTAAGTGTTCATCCTAAAGTGTTGCACCGAGAACTGACTCAGTAGCTTATGACAGCATTACTGGTTTGTGGATAGCCAATAAATTTTGGGCTCTTATGGATAACTGGGTTAAAGGAGAATTGCATTTACATTCATACTAGTCCTGAAACTTGCCCTCCCCTCTTTGCCTTACCAATTTGTACTGCCTTGCAGATGTGATGAAGCTGGTAACTCCACTGGTGAGCTGGTGAAAAGAAAAGCATCTGGAGAAAAGCCCAAAGGCAAGTAGTCTCTACACCCTCCTTAGACACACTCAACTTAGAGCAGGCTCAGCAAAGGCTGAGGTCCTCGCTCAGACACTCGGAGCTTCTCAGAAGTACCGCTGGTGCCACCCTGTGGGAGAGTACCAGGGCTTCTCCATTATCCTCTGCCCCCTTCACCACACAATATATCTATGTTGTGTGTATATGTTGTACTCTGCTCCAAACAAACAAGTCTTCCCAGGTTTCTCTGAAACTCTCCTTTGCCATTTCTTCTGGTGTAGTTTTCTTCCATTACATTCATGTACCACAGTTTGTTCAGTCGTCTTAATTTGATAGACACTTCCTCAGTTTCCAGTTTTTTGCTATAATGAAACGAGTTCTCTAGATAATTTTTGTACTTATGGGTCCTTTTTCTCTTTCTTTGATCTCTTTGAGATCTAGACCTGATAGTAATATTGCTGGGTCAAAGTATAAGTTCTGTGAGGGCAAAGTGTAGGCCTAGTTAGTGACTTTTTGAGAATAGTTCCAAATTGTTTTCAAGAACTACCTCACCAGTACACAGCTCTAGCAACAGTGCACAAGTGTGCCTGTTTTCCTATAGTCTTGCCAACAACATTTGTCATTTTCCCTTTTTTTATCATCTTTTCCAGTCTGATGGGTGTGATGTGAAACCTCAGAATTGCTTTAATTTGCGTTTTTCTGATATTTGTGATTTGAAGCATTTTTTTCATGTGGTTCATATTTGTTGATAGTTTGGACTTCTTCCTTTGAGAGTTGCAAGATCATATCCTTTAACCACCTGTTAGACAATGGCTTTTGTTATAAATTTGAATCCATTTCTTATGTATCTTGAGTATGAGACCTTTATCAGAGAAATTTCTTGCAAGAATTTTTTTTCCCAGTTAATGATTTTCCTTTTCATTTTAACTGCATTGGTTTTGTTTGTGCAAATTGTTCATTCTCTCTTCTGTGATTCTTGCTGTCCCGGGTTTGGACGTGAACTCTTCCCTTCGCCATCGTTGGGAGCTTTAGAGGAAGGAGAGGAGCCAGGCTGCTGAACTCAAGTTTCTCATGATAGCAAAAGTCCCTTTTGTGTTTCTGAATTTAATTTTTTTTATTAAGAACTTAACCATCTCCAAATAAAATGAGCATTTGAATATACAAAGTAGAACAGAAAAAGAGGCTTGTAGATGAAATTGCAAATCTTTGTGAAATACTGCTTGCTTTTCCTTTTAAGTACATGACACATCTAACACGTAACATTCAAAGTTGTTCTGATTATCTTTTTTCCTTTGTGGCCTTTCTTCCATTCTCTTCTCTGAATTTTCAAAAAAAAATTCAATGACCCTCTTTTTCTTTTCTTTTTTTTTTTTTTTTTTTCCTGGGAGCCAGGCCAGCCCTACCCCTAACTCCCCCCCCCCCCCCCCCCACCAAATTGAAAACAAAAAAGAAAGAAAAAAAAAACTCCTGTAACAACTGGACAAAAAAAAGTCAGAAAAAAGAAAAGCTCATTGGCCACATCCACAAATATGTCTCATTTTCCACCCCGAGTCCATCAGTCCTCTGGAATCGTGGGTGATCATTGCATTTGATCAGAATTTTTAAGTCCTAAAGCTTTTTCTCTTTATTTTGCTATTTTTGCAGAAATTGTTCTCCTGGTTCTTCTCACTTCACCCTGGATCAGTCTTTCCATGTTTCTCTGAAACTGCCCTTTTTCTTTTTCTTTTTTTCTTTTTTTTAAGGCAGTTGGGGTTAAGTGACTTGCCCAGGGTCACACAGCTAATAAGTGTCACGTGTTTGGTCTGAGGCCGGATTTGAACTCAGGTCCTCCTGACTTCAGGGCCGGTGCTCTGTCTATCCACTGCGCCACCTCGCTGCCCCTTTTCCATTTCTAATGGTGTAATACTATTCCATTGCATCCAGATATCATCATTTGTTCAGCTGTTCCCTCAGTGATGGGCTTAACCCTTTAGTTTTCAAGTCTTGGCTGTAACCAAAAGGAACTGCTAGAAATATTTTTGTACTCATTGGTTCTCGTTCTCTTTCTTTGCTCTCTCTGGGCCTGGTAGTGATACCACTGTGCCAGAGGGTCTGCCCAGCTTTGGGACCCTTTCACACTTGTTTGTCCTTACAATATGTTGTTGTGGAAATTGTTCTCCTGGTTCTGCCCCCATTACTTTGCATTGGTTTGTACAAGTCTTCCCAGGTTTCTTTGACACCAGCCTTTTGCCATTTCTTATGGCATGATAATATTCCATCACATTCATATACCATGATTTGTTCAGTCATTCATCAACTGATGGTACCCTCTTCATTTCCCAGTTCTTTGCTATACGCCTTTTTGTCCTCTTTGATCTCTTTGGGGTCTGTGCCTAGTAGAGGTATTTCTGGGTCAAAGAGTACAGACGATTTAGTGACTGTTGGGACATACTTCAGAATTGCCTTACAGAATGGCTGTACCAGTTCACAGTTCTACCAGCATTAATGTATACAACATTAACATACCTACTTTCCCATAATTCCTCCAGTGACTTTTTAAGCATAGTTGCAAATTGTTTATAAAGCACTCGGCACATGGATTTTTCCATTCCACTCACACTGATTACCTTAATTTTATAGATTGAAGAAACTGAGGCCCAGAGAGATTGGAGCTGGCACGAATCTATCATTGTTTATACTCCACACACATTGTTTCCTGTCTAAATGCATATGCATCTTGTTTGGAATCCCACAAAAATGTCATGTCTCTTTTTCCCAAGCCCTACACTACCACGACCTTCTTTGGGAAAGAGCAGAGCACTTTTTTTTTCAACAGAGCTGTCCAAAAATGGAATGGAATACCTTAGGAGGTTATGGGGTCTCTAGCACTAGAGAATTTTTAAGCAGGTTAGTGACCATTTTGGGGGAATGTTGTAGAGGAAATTCCAGTTCAGGTGCAGGTTGAAATAGATGATCTCTGAGGTCCCTTCCAACTGTAGAAACATTCTGTGCCACTCTCCACCCCAAGCCCGGTGTGTGACCCAATGTACCGTTACTTTTGGCCTGAAGGAGGAAAGCTTTCTTGGTGACTGGATTTTGGGTGCCTTACCCAACGGAGGCCCCATCGGGGATATTCCAATGTCTGATATATATATGCTCCTTGTTGAGCCCTTAGCCCTGTGTTGTGACAAACAGGTCTGCCAATTTCAACGTTAGTAGGCAATTGACAGTGACAGTGAGTCTGACTTCTTAGACATTGCTTGGGGCAACTCGGTGGTCTTCCACCAAGGACAAATGAGTGAATGTTCTTAATGGATTTTGTGACTATAAATAATAGGTATTTCTGTAGTTACTTCCTAGCTGGATGGTCTTTTCAGTTCCCCAATACTATGAGAAGTGCGACATAAAACTAAACAAAGAACACTATTGTACACTGTATAGAAACAAATAGACACAATTGCTTCTCACTATGTTTTTCTCAGGAGAATTGCCTAATTCCTGGTCTGTGTTCAATGTATATGTCCCTGCTGCATCTGATGAAGTCCTGTACTTTTTCATCGGGCTCACCCACCTCAGACTGGTTTTTAATTTTGATAACACAGTGTCATTGGCTGAATCCCATCCTCTTAGGGCCCCGACTCCGGACGTGTGGCTGTATATCTGCTCTGGAGCCTTCCTGAGCCAGATGCTGACAGACTAGCTGATGTTTCTCAATCTTGCCAGTCCTAGCTGTTTGGAAGGCAGAGTGTCTATCTTCAAAGGCTATGGTAACACCTCCGACAGCGGCGCTGCACTTACTTCTTATTGTCCAAGTTTACAAAATCTGCTGTTAAGGCCTCTCTTGAATCTTAGTTTTTTCTTGCATTTCGATAGCTGGAGCAAAATTGTGCTGTCAGATCATAACCGGACTCCTTGGAGGACCCAGTGGCAGGTGCCATGTGGGGCAGCACTTGTCTACAGAACCAAATCTCTGGGTCCTGTTCAATGGCTTGTACTCCAGCCTGGCTCTGTGAATGACTTGCCAGTCTGCAAATTGGGTAAAAGATTCTTCCCTCAGAAAAAATATTTGAGGCTGTACCCATTGAAGTCGTGGAGTATGCTTTACCCTGACCTGGTTTGCTGACTAGCTGCTGTTGAAAATGATTTCTTAGTGTAGATTTCAAATTCCTCTCCATTCCTTCAAGAGCCAACAGACCACCTTTCAGCCCCAGTGCCAAGATACCGTTTTTGAGATTTGACACTCAGGTGAGATTTTAGCTGACAATGAGCACATGTTAGGGGCTACTGTGCCCTCACCTCCAGACTCTTCCATAGAGCCATTGAAATACATGGCCAGCTCTTCTGGTTGAGGGTCCTCACTGTATTAAGAGAGAATTCGAGGCTACAGTAAGGGAATGGTGGGACACAATAGATCTCAGTCCATTCTGTTTTAAGGCGGTTTCCTGGTTGGTCACAGTTTCCCTCATTTCTGCCTTGCAGAGGGCTCTAAGGCCAGGCCTCTAGCGCACAATTTCCTCTGCTTGCTCTTTTTAGGGTTGCTTTGTGAACTCTAGATCGTCCGTTTGTTACCAGAGGGGTCTCGGAAAGATGCCAGAAAAACGAAAGGCCTCTAGAAGGACTTGAAGGCGAAAAAGCCTAGAATCTTCACATAACTAGAAAGTAGCAAATTTCAGAGGCATTTCAAAAATGGAATTTGGTTAGATAAGGAAGAGTCTCCAAGTGGTCCTGAAAGGTAGCAGGATAGTTGGAAATCGATTTGGGGAAAGATCCTTGTCAGTGTTGGCTTGCCTCTGGGTAGGCCTCTTCGCTGGCCAAATTGACCTCTGCTCCCACACCTGAGCAGTAGCGGTTAGCTGCTAGAATAAGAGCACACGTTTCTCTAGCGCTTTCAGGTTTGCTTTCCAGGTGTTAGCTCGTTTGATCCTCATAACACCTTTGGGAAGCAGGGACTCTTCTTCTTATCTCCACTTTACAGAGAAGTAGACTCAGTTTCAAGGAGATTGGATGACTTGCCTACGGTCACCTCGATAAATATCCGTGGCGGGATTTGAACCCAAGTCTTCCTGTCTCCTAGTCCAGTTCTTGATGCACTCTGCTGTGCTCTGCATTTTGGTGGTGGTGGTTTTTTTTTTTTTTTTCCTGGGGAGATTCCAGTTCCAGATGCCAACTCTGTGCTGTTTTGGCTCACTTTGTATCCTTGGGGCTTGGTACCATGCCTGGCCCGCAGTAGGCACTTCATCAGTGCTAGTGGATGTACAGTCATTGACAATCGTTGTTGAATGACAGTCATTTTCCCCTTGTTAACACCACCAGGATAGGAAACAAAAAGCTTAAGTCCTGGGGAAATGACAGGCCAGCGTGCTAACCCTCCCTCACTCTTGTGTTAATGTAACCGGCAGCCTGGAGTGTAGATTTGCCTGAGTTTGGGCTTACACTGAGCAGTGTGTGGCCCGGCTTACGACAGGATGCTGCTCCTCACCTGCCTCGACAGGATGCTTCTCCTCACCTGCCTCGCTCGCCTGCCCCTCCCTGGACCTTAAAGATGGAGCATCTTTACAATGAGGGTGTTGACCTCCGCGGGCCCTTCCAGCTCTAAATCTGAGTCCCGACGTGGCACTTCCTCTCCCTGGGGCTCGGTTTCCTGTCTCCAAAACGGGGGAAGAAGAGGCTGGCTGGCGGAGTAAATAGTTTGAGTTCCCTTCCAGCCATAATCTAATCAAGCTGCTTTTGAGTACTTTGGAATATAGAGCTTGGCGCCCTCTAGATTTGGGTATGGGCGCTTCCAGATTGGACTTCCAGGCTCTCCTTGGTGCTGGTGGCCTGCTGTCTGGGCGCAAGGTAACTTACTCCATTCAGACATTCTTTCTACTCAGCAATTTTCTAGCCCGTTTTGTTTGTACTTTTAGAAAAGAAAGCCTTCAAGACTCCTTCCAGGGATGTTCCCAGCTCAGTTCAGGATTCAGGGGCCCCCACGCCCGGCTTTTCAGGTGCTTCGGGGCTAATGCCTACCTTGTCGACTCCCCCAGTCACATCAGCCAGTTACGCAGATGCTCCGAAAAGCGGTAGAAGGTATGTGATTGATCGTGATCCGGGGCCTTGCTAGGTCCTGAGGCCTGTGGATGCTGGGTGTTAACGTGCAGAGATGGAAGGCGCAGTCTCTGCCGTCGACTTCAGGGTCTAGTGGAGGAGAGAACGTGGAACTACACAGGAGCGGGTAACAATGCAAGGACGTGTGTGATGAAATCCCAAGTGAGCGCTCCTGGCAGGTGGGATTCGCCCCTTCCCTTCTCCCCTCTCCAGGGTCTTCCCAGCACCTTGCCTCAGCTCTGGATCTGGACCACCCACTGGTGTCTAGATGAGGGTTCAGAAGAGGTGACCAGAACTCCTTAGCCTTGACCTCTCTGTGCCCTTTGACACCGCCAATTGCTCTCTTCTCCTGGATATTCTCTTTTCTCTAGGTTTTTGTGACATTGATTTCTCCTGATTCTTCTCCTCGGTATCATTTACTTTACCCAGGTCATGCCCATTGACCAGAGGTGTCTTGGGCCCTCTTCTTTTCTTCCTCTATACCAGAGCTGTCAAACATACCTCCTGCCGCTCCCACTGGGACTGCATTCAAATGTAATTGGGAAATATTTAACAAAATAAATACAAATAGAATAAAACATAGCTAACATTACATTTGAAAACCAAGTCAACAAGCAGGCTCACAGGGATCCTTTTGTACAGATAAGTGACCCCGGTTTCTATTTGAATTTGACACCACTACTCAATACCATCTCACTTGGTCATCTCATCAGCTCCAAATGGCTCAATTATCATCTTGATGCAGGTGGTTCCCTAACCCTAAGCTACTTTCTCTTGAAGCAGTCTTGCCTTTTGAACATCTTGACTTGGTTGAACCATAGGAATCTCAAACTCAACGTGTACACAACAGAACTTCTTATCTTTAGCCCCAGATTCTTCCCTCCTCTTCCTTTTTCTGTTACAGCTGAGGGCATTGCCATTCTCCCAGTCACCCAGTCACTGGCAACCTTGACTTCCCTCTCGCACTCACCCCCATAGAGCAAATCTGTTGTCAAGTTGTTTCTATTTTCCCAGCATCTCCTATAGACGTCTCCTGTCCACTTCCATGGCTGCCTTTCCGGTACAAGCCCTTGCACCTTGTGCTTGGACCATTACTTCTGGTCAGTCTTCCTGCCTCAAGAAGCTCTCCAATCCATCCTCCACTTAGCTGCCAAATTGCTTTTCTGGTCAAATCGCTTCCTACGCAGACTACTCTAGTGACTTCAGGATCAAATGGAAAAGGTTCTCTTTAGCATTTCAAGCTCTCCATAAGCTGACTCCTTTCCCCTTTTTCCAATCTTCTCCATGCATTCTCCAGTCTAGTGACTGGCCTCATCTCCAAACTGGGCCCCTGCCTTGCAATCCTTCTTCTCTTTCGCTGGGGTTCTCCCTCTCCTTTGCCTTCTCTCTGGGAATTTACAGTTCCCTACTTTTTACGTGTGGACTTGTTCACATATTGTCTCCCTCATTAGAGTGTGAGCTCCTCCAAGGCAGGGACCTGTTTTGGCCTTTCTTTGTACCCCCAGCGCTTGGCATCTCATAAGCTCTTAATGAATGATTTTTGAATGCCTAACTGACGGAGAAAGGGAAACACACACAATGAAAATAGCTTGACTGCGTTTTGGGTAAAGTTATCTGACAAATGGAGAACAGAGACCCAGAAGGGAAGTTCTCAGGTAACCAGGCCCACTTCCCTCCTCCTGCCCGGCTGCATGCCACCGGCCTGCCTGGCCCCCTCTCTCGCTTCCTTCTCCTTTGGAGTTCTAGCTGCAGTATCAGAAAGGGCCTGTTTGAATCCTAGGACTTGAATCCATTGGCGGCTTCCGAGGAATGGAAGCTGGAGAGCACAACTCTAGTCTAGTGGCACATTCCCAGAGAGGACTAGAGTGTGATCAGAGATTCTGAACTGAAACGGACCTGCTGAGGCCTCTGAGAGCCTTGGGGGATCGTTGGTGTCAAACTCACACCAAAAAGGATCCCTGGGGGCTGCACGTTGACATAGAAAACCACAAATTCCTGCCATCTCTGCTGTGTTGTGTTTTTATTTGTTTTGTTCACCATTTCCCAATTACATTTTAATCTGGTTTGGGCAGCCTGTTGTTTGACACCTCAGTGGTAGAGAAAGACCATTGGATTTGGAGTCAACAAGCAAGCACGTAGGCAATGTGCCAGTGGCTTTTGTACTAAGTGCTGGGGTTTACAAATAGAAGCAAAGGCAGTCTCTGCCCTCAAGGAGCTTATATTCTAACGGGGGAAAGACAGCACATAAAAGAAAGTTGAAAGCAAGGGTGGATGTTGTGGTGGGGGCAAGGTGGGTCAAGAATGAATCCTGGAGGAATGAAGTACTGAACACCGGCCTGGGCCCTTCCTTCCACCAGAGGGTCTGGGAGGAATTGACCAGTCTGAGGACAGAGCCACAGGGGCAGGAGGGCTCTTCGGGATGAGAAGGCTGCTGATGAAAGGTTGGGAAAGAAATCTGGAGAGTTAAAGCACTTGAGTTCAAATCCTCCATTTAACTACTGTGGGACCTTGGGCAAGTTACCTCATCAGATAGGCTTAGAGGGCTAGATTTGGAGTCAGAAAGATCTGAGTTTGAAATCTGCCTCAAACAGTAGCTTGGGCAACTCACTTAACTGCGCAGTGTCTCAGTTTCCTCATCTCTAAAATGGAGGACCCTTCTAGCTCTAAACCTGTGATCTAAGACAGGGGTGGGGAACTTGTGGCCTGGAGGCCACGTGTGGCCCTCTAGGTCCTCAAGTGCGGCCCTTTGACTGACTCCAAACTTCACAGCACAGATCCCCTTCATAAAAGGATTTGTTCTGTCAAACTTGGACTCAGAAGGCTGCACCCGAGGACCTAGAAGGCCACGTGTGGCCTCCAGGCTGCAGGTTCCCCACCCCTGACTGAGATCTTAAATGGGAGAGACCAGAACTTGCTTCCTCTACCTTGACATTGTGGTTGCTGTTTGAAGTGCCAGGTGCTACATGGGACATCCGGCCTGAGATTGTCCTGGAATTTGGCCTTGCTTATGGTCGTTCGACTTCAGTTTGCCAAATGGCTGTTGACTGAATATCCACCCCGCTGCCGTGCATTCTTCGCCTCTCCTGTGTGCACAACAGTTGGGAGTGTGACCCTGTTTTTGCCTGTCGTTGTGGCCCCAGCACTTTGCATGGTGCCATTTCAGTCGGGGAGCTTTGCTTGGGTTCTAGGGTCTGGTTGGGGGGGGGTGTTAGTATATCGATAAGGAAGTGATGGCCCTGCTAAAGGTTAATAGGAATGCTTATTAAGTTGAACGGAAGTCCAGGTTTCACAGCCGTAACGACACGATCATTTCTTTAGATGTTTGTGTAAAGTATTTTAATGGGGGTATACCCCAAAAGCTGCAAAAGCTAAAAATGGCACTAAGGCTTTTGTAGCACCCTGTTAATGCAGACTGCCTAGCCAGATGGTCTGTTCAGACCAGAATCTCTATGCCTTTGTACTGATTCTCTTCCTATCTGTTAAACCAATCCTTTTGGTTTTGGTTTTTCACATTTCGTTGATTTTCTTCCATTAAAAATCGACTTTCTCTCCCTTCCATCTCCTCCTATCCTTGCCCCCTTTCCATGGGGGGGGGAGGAACAAAAAGAGACCCTTGAAACAAACATACATAGTCAAGCGAAGTAGATCCTTCTCACGTTGGCCACGTCCTCAAAACCAACATTTCATTCTGCATTCTCTCCGTTTAGCTTAACATTTATTAAGTGTTTCCTTCTGGGCAAGGCTTGAGGTGTCAAGGGTCTGGGGAGTTTGTGGGGAGCGCAAGCGATTGGATCTGGGGTGCGGAGGGGCCCGCGTGCCGACGCTTTCTGTCCCTTGAACGCCGATGCGAGTTTTGTCTCTGCAGGATAAATACATGCCAGGTGGCTGGCTGCTTCCTGGCTGAGCTCTCCAGTCCCGCATCAGATTATGTGAAATACTTTCAGCTGAAAAGGGAGGAGTTGATTTGGAAGCTCTATCACTTGTATAACGCCACGATCTTCGGGAAGCAGGTAGAGTGTGTCGGTTGGCAAAGAGGTGCCGGGGGAGGGGAGGTGGGACTTCTGTCCTCAGGCGGCACCACACGTGTTCTTCCAGCCAAAGGGGTTTGGAGGAACTTCTCAGAGAAGGCTTTCGGAAGGAAGGAGGGAGGGCTTGGCCTGGGGCCTGGTGGATGGATAGGGTTTCGAGAGACGCAGTAGAGGAAGGACAGTCTAGGAGCAGATGGAGAGCATGGGTCCAAATGAGCACGGCGCGTGTGAAGGGTGGCACAGGGACCTGCGTGAGCACACGTCTGGGGATGTGTGTTGGGGAGTCATGGACGATGGGGCGGGGAAAGCTGAACTTTGATTCCTTGCAAAAATCTGGAACATATTACTGATGGCATTTAGGGAGAGAGAGAAAAACAAGTAAATACCTATTAATGGAAAAATGAAATTCAATGGGGAAAAAGCACGTTGCTGATGGGGTGGTTTGTAGTCATGGTCACTGGGTTTGAAACATGTTGGACTTGGAGTCAGGAAAACCTGTATTTGAACCCACCCCACATTTCTCTCAACCTCAGTATCCTCATCTGTAAAATGGGGATGATGATAGACCCTTCCTCCCAGGGTTAGTGTCAGGATCAAATGTGCTAATATATGAGACGTGCTTTGCAAGGCTGAAAGGGTTGTACGGATGTGAGCTTGTCCCCTGCCCTTCTCCCTTCCCCACCCCACCCTCCTCTACAAGTCCTCCCAAGTGGTTGGCACTTGACTTGTCGAACCTCACGTAGTCTTGTATTTTGTTCTTGTTGTCCAGATGTTTTGGACTCTTTGTGAACCCTTTTGGGGTTTTCTTGGCAAAGATACTGGAGCGGTTTGCCATCGCCTTCTCTACAAAGTCCTTATTCATCTATTGACCTGTGTTTGTGTCTTAGCTCCATGTGAGCTCCAGGGGGCACCTTTGCTCTGGCTGTGACCAGGGCAGCTTCATCCTTCTTGTCCCCTGGGCCCACATTCATTCTTGGGAGCAGGGGGGAGGAGACGTTCTCTGTGCTGCCTTAGCCTTTCACTCTGACAGGCAGGTTTTTTGCACTTGTTTTGGTCACGAACCCTTTTGATTAGGGGAAAGTGAGTGAATGAACGAATGAGTGAATGGAAAGCATTTGTGAAGCATTTATTAGCAAACAGGAGGAAGAAAGTAGACAAAATGAGGTAGGCTTTGCCCTAAAGGCGCTTTCACTCTAGTAGCTAAGGGAAGGTACTGGGCTGTCAGAGGAGGGTGGGGTGCTAACGTGGTACTCCTGATCTGCGGAGGGACACCTCATGACTGCCTTCATGTGTTCTTTGCCCTTAGTTGCCAGAGAGAATGAGCATCAGCTGGAATAAAAAGATGCGTACAACGGCGGGATTCTGCCATTTTTCAGGCAGGGAAGATGATCTACCATCAAATCGCAGTATCCGAATTGAGCTTTCTGAAAAAGTCTGTGACTCTGCAGGTAATGAGGAGTGTGGTCTGTGGCCCCTGGGCTTGAAACCTCCGTGTCATTTGGATTCTTCCTACTCTGTTCAGTCACTAAGATTTGTCCCTTCTTCCTTAGTTCTCAGTCCCTTTGTTATATCCCTTTCCATCTCTGTTGTTCCCACCTTAGTCCAGGCCCTCGCCGACTCAAACTGGACCCACTGAGTGGGAGTGGGGGGGAGGAAGGGGAAGGAAGGAGTATTGTGACTCCACCATGGCCAATGAGTGTGAGAGGAAAATGTAGCCAGTACTAGAAAGGGCAGGGAAGGAAGCGGTGCCAACAGGAGAGCGCCAGGTCTCAGTGCAAGGGGTGGGCAGATCTGGAGTGGCACATTGGTCAGGTGAGGTTAAGGTGGATAAGAGTAAGATGGTGGACAGTTGGGGATGGGGAATGAGGTTTGTACATCACCCACAGAGGCAGTGGGGGGGCAGTATATGGGTCACAGTTTCTGAGCTGGGGAGCGAATAAGAGGCTAGGAGTATGCCAGCTAGTGAGCAATGAGCCCAAGCAATCTGTGGTTGGAGACAGGTCTGGAAGGAGGCATGTGGTTAGACTGAGGCCCTCCCTTGAAGACCAACCTTGTAGCAGCATGGTGATGCAGCTTTTGATGCATGAAGTGTCCTCACTTTAGTAGGAGCAGGAGAAGGTATTAAAACCTAGTCAGGAGACAGTGGTCCCTTCCCTGAACTGGAGAAGGCCCTTGGGGGAGAGGTACAGCAGAGGCAGGGGCGCACTGGCCCTAGAGAAGGCCTGGGGGCAGGGTCAAAGAAAGCCTAGAGGCACATGGAGGGGTCTTCCCTGGGCTCTTGCCTTCCTCTCTCTGGTCTTCAAGGGCCCAGGTAGAGCCAGGCAATCTTTGCTGGGCAGCCAGCCCCCGCCCCCCCCAGCTCAGATTGGCTTCTCACAGTGTCGGGAACACTGACCGAGTCACAGAAAGTGAGATTGTTTGATTGATTGTCTTTGTATCCCCAGTGCTTTGCACACAGTAGAAGCTTAAGAAATGCATGTTGCTTTGATTGAATGTTTGAATCTAAGGTTCTCTCTCTGACCGAGAGGTGCTCATTAGTGAGTTGGAGTGGTTGAAATTTCATTTTTCCATCTGCTGAAAAGAAAATATTTAGTGCTGATTGTGTGTATGAATAAAATGTATATTTCATGTGGAAGAAAGTTTAGGAAATATTGTGAGTTCCAGGTGGCAGGAGGAACGTTTCAGGTACTCATGATTTTTCTTTGTTTCTCTTCCCAGACCGGCTCCGGGACACCTTGATTCATGAGTTATGCCATGGGGCTACCTGGCTGTTTCATGGCGTCAGAGACTGTCATGGTCCCTTTTGGAAGATCTATGCCCAAAAATCTGTGTTGGTGCACCCAGAACTGCCTGCGGTGAAACGCTGCCACTCTTACGAGATTCACTACAAGTTTATTTACGAGTGTGCTCAGTGCAAAGCCAGGTAACAGGAGTCCCGTTGCCTTCCCCTCCTTCCCTTTTGTTCATTGGCCATCCTACACTGAATCCTCTTAGACCCTTAGGATGTATGGCCCCCTGCCAGTTGAAGACTTAAACCAGTTTCTCAGTTTTCTTTCCATCCACCCCCCGCAACCCCCATACACACCTTTTGTCCCCTTCTGTGGCAAATTGCTCAGTGCTCACTTTTGTTGCCAAGATCTGATTGCTTGTTTTTCCATTTTAGGGTTGGCCGGCACTCCAAGTCGCTGAATGTCAGTCGTGTAGTCTGTTCTCTGTGCCACGGGTCTCTAAGACTGCTCCCACCCACCCAGAGAGCTGGCACATCTAGTCAGACTCAGCCCACTCCAGCTGCCACATGTGTGACAGTAAGCCACCACCGCTGTTAATAAGGGAAAAAGGGTTCATTTGCACCAGACAGAGGTGACAAATGCTGACATCCAGTAGGATACGGTAACCACGGATCAGAATATTGCTGTTTCTAGAATTTATTTAGGGAGGATTAGCTGGAAAAATAACATTGAACTGTTCAAATTTTTTTCATGTGTTTGATGTAAAATTTAGTGCTGATTTAGAATCCTGTGCATTTGAGTAGTGATTTCCTGTCATTGGCCAAGAAACATCAGGATTGTGGCTGTGAAAATATCTAGCTGCCCTCTCCTTTTGCCTCCACGGACCCATGATTCTGACAGTGTTGGGAGCTGAACTCGTTTGGGTGAAATGGCTAAGAGGAGGTAAAGCCACAGCTCTCTAAGCAGGGAGAAGGGGGACTGCCCCAGAAAAACCAGAACAAGGATGGCCCAACTGGGGCATTTTAAGTGGTGATTTTAACATGGATTTTAGCCAGGATTAGTTTGATTGATTGTTACAGAGAAAAACTAAGCACTAAGCATTGGAGTTTATTGTGAAGAATAAAATCTTTTCATGGCATTAGTCAAGGCTTTTATTTACATACCACCAACCGGCGCTTCCCAGGGGTCCGCCCAGATTCTTCTGGAATTCCCCCCTCCCCCCCTCCACCCCCATCCCCTTCAGGGGACAACTGCAGGGACCCAAGTGACTGGAAATCCTTTTTATTACTTGTTTTGCTCTGTCCTCCCTTCACCTCCTGAAGCCTCAGCACATTCTTTGTCAGTGACCATAGACCTAGGCCAGCTCTAGCCTTGCCTATACAGGACCAGTGTCTGTCTCTTTGGGCCTCCACTCAAATCTGGGCTGCTGCTTTGGGCACTGTAGTCCAGGGGTTCTGCACCTGGCATCGTGGAGCCCTTTGGCAGGCTGGGCAAAAAACCTCAGAAGAATCGTTTGTTACCCATATTCATAATTGAAGGAAATGCTAAATTTCAGTTAGAGGTTAGTCAAAAGAAAGATGTCCTTTTTTTTTTTTTTCCCCCTCACCCAAGTTCGTGGACCCCAGGTAAAGAAGCCCTGCCAAGGCTGGATCTGTGGAGAAATGGGGGGAGGGGCAGGCAAGCGAAGGCCAAGGTCTGCATCTCTACAGTCCTGAGATTGACGCTTCTGTGGTCTCTGACCACGAGGAATCCCTCCTGGAAGATGACGGAGTTGGCCGCAGGAGGGCCTCTTGGCCTGGGCAGCCCAGCCTCCCTAGCTGCGTCCGCAGCTGGCCTCGGAACTTGACCCCCACGAAAGCATAGAGCAGGGGGTTGAGGCAGCAGTGCACAAAGCCGAGGCCCGAAGTGATAGACTTGGCCACGTCCAGTTGGCTCTCCCACTCACAGTCCCGGCTCACTGCATTCAGATCAATGAGTATGTCCACCAGCATGACCAGGTGGTAGGGCGTCCAGCAGAGGGCAAAGGCCACTACCACAGTTACCACTACCCTCATGGCCCGAAGTCTTCGCTGCCCCCGAGAGCCCAGCAATACTAGGAGGATGTGAGTGTAACAATAGGCCATGATGAGCAGTGGTAAGAGGAAGCCAGCTAGGAGCTGCAGGATATGCAAGGCCGTGTGGCCGGTCTGGGGGAAGGTATGAAGGCAACGGGTGGCATTGAGGCGAGGTTCACGCTGGGCCGACAGGAAGAGCAGGTCTGGAAAGGCCAGTAGCAGGCAGAGTCCCCAGACGATGGCACAAGTGAGGGTCACACGTGTCCCGGGGCCCCGCCGGTAGAGTTGGGTGGCATGTACGATGTTCAGGTAGCGGTCAAAACTGATACAGGCCAGTAAAAAGGCTCCTGCGTAGAAATTGATCTTGAAGAGGGCCCCTGCCACCTTGCAGAGGCCTGAGCCGAAGACCCACTCCCGAGCAGCCTCCACGGCCCAGAGTGGCAGGGTCAGCACCAGGAGCACGTCAGCCAGGGCCAGATGGAGCAGGAAGGTGTCGGTACCACTCGGGGCCCGGTGCTGCCTCAGAAGGACAACTGCCACAGCTCCATTGCCCAACAGGCCAAAAAAGAAAAGGAGGCTGTAGAGGGTGGGCAAGAAGGCCAGGTCAAAGGTCAGGCTGAAGTCATGGCTGCAGGGTGGAGAGGAACAGCAGGGGGTCGACTCGTTTTCTGCATAGTCATAGGGGAAACTGCTGTTCTCCAGGAAGTCAAAATCAGACAGCACCAAGTGGTCACTGACCTGGGAAGACAGTGGAAGGGGTGGGAGCCACGAGCCCGGCGGGGGGCTGGGCCCTTCCTGGTCCCCTGCTCTGCCCCAGGAGCTTCTCCTCCACTTCTCATTCCAGCAGAGTTGCCTAGTCTTCCAGAAGGCCCCTGGGAACAAGGCAGCTGGCAGCCCAGCTAGCCCAGCACCTCACTTTGGGCATCTCCTCCCATGCTCCTGGTCAGGAAACCGGTGCCCAGTGCCGAGGGTGGAGGGTGGAACCTGCCCCAACGGCAGCTGGTCACTGCTCCTGTCTCCCCCCCCCCCCATCTGCCACCCTCCACCCCGAGAACCTCCCAGGCTGCAGTTTAACCCAGTCTATCAAGTGGGTGTCCAAATACTTACCTGGGACATCATGGCAGTCCTGGAGGTCACCGGCCCAAAAGCTGCTCCAGGTGCTGGAGGCTGTGTGCTGCGCCCTGCTTACCACCAGCCAGCTGTGGGGTTGAAATCTGGACTGAGCAGTTCAGAGGAAGTGAAGAAGGGAGCACGTGTACCCCCGGCTCCAAGGAGTCGAGGGGGGCCCCCCCCCCCCCCCCCCCCCACCCCCGCCACACCAGGCTTTCCTACACCAGAAAACCTCAAGAGATGCTCTTCTGTCCCAGCTAGCGATTTGGGGAGAGCAGAGGGGGGAGGCGCTGCCTGGGGGCAGGTTCAGTCAGAACCTCGTGGGCTGGTGCTGAAATCGACTGCATGGAGCCAGCGGCTCAGCGTCTTGAAGGAAGGCATGGGCCAAGTGTGTTCATGTCGAGAGAAGGGGCATTGAGGCAGCGCCTGCTGGGGAAGACAGTGGCTGCTTCTAAATCGCTTTCTAAGTCTGTAATCTTGGGGGGCGCACTGGGGGTTATGCAGGAGCTGCTTCCTGGGCCTTGGGCTTCTCCTTCCTCTTCTCCTCCCCATCCCTTATGCTATATACATGATTTAATTGAGGCACAGAGGTTAAGTGACCAGCCTCAGGTCACACAAGCTGTTCTGAACCCAGGTCTTCTGACTGCAGAGATTACGGTCTTCCCCTGTACTACCGAATGACTGTATTTCAGCTGATTCTCTCCCTCCGTCTCCCAACCTGCAGAGGACAGTGTCAGAGAAACCAAAGGAGGGGAGGGCTGACAATCTCAGAGGCCATTTTTATTCTAAGCCGTACCTAACGCAAATCCCCTTGCCAACAAGCATCCCTGAGCAATGGGCATCCAGCCTGTAGAGCCCCGACCAGCCCTAATGATGACGAGTTCACTACCTCCCAGGGCGGCCCATCACAATTTCCAACGGATCTCGTCTTAGTCAGTTTTCTCATCTTAAAGCAAATGCCTCACTGTATCAGCCCTAGTTTGCCCTTTGGAGCGAAAGAGAGACATGGAATCTCTCTTTCACACAACAGCCTTAAAAACAAGTCCGGCAGTAAGCAAAAGGAACTTACAATCGAATGAGGGACGAGGACAAGCAGCAGGGAGGGGGTGTGATGGGAGGAGTCACAGAAGCTGGTGGCAAATGGGCAGAAAACCTGTGCTGAGGCCCCTCTTTAAAGAAAGGCCCTGGAGCCCCTGGCCCTGCCCCCTCGAGTCTGTCTCTTCTGCTGCCTAAGGGTTTCCGCGGCCTGCTCTCAAGTCCCCTCGGCGACCTCGGCCTTGGCCTCTCCTTTGGATTGCCAGAACAGAACAGGCCACTGGAGGTTCCCCCGGGAGCCATTTCAGTGAAGCAGGAGAGGTAACTGGCCAATCAATAAGCATTTCTGGGAGCCTAAGCTCGTACAAAACGAAATGCCAAACAGTCCCTCCCTCTTTTCAAGGGATTTATGGAGCAGAAGCCCTTTTTGTGCGGGCTTATCAGACCAGCTGCTTGTGGGGAGGTCCAAGGTGCTGAGAAGCTCTGGCAGACAAGAGCACGATGGGCCGGCTTGGAGTCAGGATGAGCTGGCCTTAGAGCCCAACTCTGGTGTGGTCATGGACATGCCATTCTGCTCCAGTACCCTCAGCGGGAAGATGGAGGCGCTAACCCCTGGAGGAACGGCCTCACGGACACGATGTGTCCGGAGTGCTTGGCTTCAGGAAGGGCCCAAGCCAGGCCTGGCCCCCCAGAAGAGGTGCGGCCAGAGCTGCCACGCTGATGGAGGCCAAGATTGTCGAAGGGCCTTTAGAGGTCAGCAGAGGAAACTGAGGGAGCCCCGAGGGCTCAAGTCTCCAAGGTAACTGTCCAAGCCAGGATCTGAACCCAGGCTGGGTGGCTCCTAATCTCGTTCAGATTTACATTCTCTCCACTACAGCACACAGTCTGATCAGAGACCTGCCAGACTGACCAGGGACAGAAGAGATTTGTCCCCCAGGTCAGGAAGGAGGCTCTGAGGAGACATTTCCTCCCAAGGCAATGGGCAGGCCACCCCCTCCCCCAGCTCTGAAGAGAAGCAGGCTGGGCCTGGGCCAGGAGGGGAGGAAGTTACTCAGAATGAAGCTGCTCCAGGCCCAACCTGTGGCCAAGGTGTGAAGTGCTCAGCCCTGCACCTGTATCCTCTCCCCTCCCGGGCCTCCTCCAGGCAGGAAGGTTGGGGCTGATCCAGCCTCCTGTTGTTTTCACACCTTGGGGCTGTGGTTTGGGGGGAGGGCCTTACAAGCAACTGCAGAGGGAACAGAATTCATAAGGGAAGGGGCCTCTTCTTGGGGGGGTGTTCCTTCTTTGGAGGATCTCTACTTCACTTCGCCTCTAGTTAGTGGCTCTCCGAGCTCCCCCTCAGAGAGGAGCTTACCTGAGGAGGCCAATGACCTTGGCCAGAGTGGGGAAGGTGGAGGGTAGGAGGAATGGAGCTAAGGTGGAAACCCCTTTAGCACTAACTAGAAAGTCCTACCGTTGATTGAGCAGGCAGCTTCCGGAGGGTTACACAGGGCCTGGCAAAGTACCAGTCAGTCTGAAAAAGTTTGGCTCAGTATGAGGAAGTGGCCAGTGGACTCTTGGGAAAGGGGAAGTGAGACAGCTCTGGAGGTCTGGGTTCAGCTCCGGGAGTTACTTTGGACCAGATGGGCTTCTCAGAGACTCCGGGAAGTGATTTTTCTGTGGGGAATAAAGGATGACCAGAGCTTTAAGACTGTAGACACTGTGGGCACAGGTTAGAGTAGACCATCTGGAGAAGACACGGCTTGCTAGGGACTGAGATCTGAGAAACTGCGGGAACCAGGAAGAAATCCGAAAGTGAAGGCCCCAGGCCTAGCAACCCCGACGCTGCAGCCGAGAAAACTGAGTGTACAGTTTGGCAAAGGTCTGCCTGGGAGTGCCTCTCCCCCCAGAGCCCTCCTAGCCCCTGGAAAGGCAGACAGGAATCGGGGAGAGGACATGAAACAAGCTGCAGAGAATGCATGGGCTCACAGAAGGTCTGGCCTTACTTGGCCTGCCACAGTTAAAGCCTGGAAGATCCCACCCTCGTTCGCCAGGGGCCCAGGCCTGCTCTCTATCCACCCTGACATGGAGCTCAGGACAAAGGTTGGGGTTTGACATATAGATCTGGGCCTCATCTGCATAGGGATGCTAATTGAACCCAGGAGAGTCGATAAGCTCATTAGTTAGGGAAAAAAAAAAAAAAAAAAGGGAGGGAGGGATGACAGGGGGATGGAGGGAAGAGGAGAAGGAAGACAGAGAGAGGAGAGATGGAAAGACAGAGAGAAAAGACATAGACATAGACATAGAAAGACACAGAGAGACACCAGAAAAGAATGCCAGACATGAAGATAGAGATGGAGAAGAGAAAGCAAGAGGGACATATGGAGACATGTGGAGAGGACAGAGAGAAGAGATGGACAGAAATAGTGGGGGGCTTTGGGACAGAAGGGCACGCAGAGAGACACGTATGTGGAACAGAATCTCAGAAATGAGCAAGTCCGGGGCTGCTGGGGTCTCCACGTCAACAACAGATGTCCTAACGACATGGCGGTCCCATGTTTGCTTGTCATTCAGCGAGGACTAGGGGAGCTCAGTGTCTGCTGCCTTCTCTGGGATTGTTGGGCAGTTAGGAAGCCTAAATTGACCCCCTTCCAACTTCTACCTCCCGTTCCTTACTCTTCCCCTATAGGAAAAAGCAGAATCAATGATGTACCTTTTTTCTCTCTTCAAAAAAAAATATGACTTTTGATGTTAACAACAAAACAAAATCGCACCCTGGCCTAATTCCTCTGTGTTTGTAACAAAGAAAACCGTTCAGCCGCACATGTCAGTGCAGACCTCTTTCTGACAGTTGCTTTTGGAAGTTAGTCCTTTATGGAGCTGATTACTGTTTCTAGTAAATGTCTGGAGCTCCCCACAGTAGCAGCCCAGCCAGGCCTAGCAGGGCTCAACTAGATTCCAAATGTTTAACATAATGAGGCAAACCATGACACAGCACAGACAGTGATGACTGGTGGTTTTCTAAGTCAATGTGCTTTTGAGTTTGATGCCATGGCCTAAAGTGATATGCAAATCCTTTCAATGGATTTCCCTTTTCTGATTGCTAGAACTCTATGCTCTATGCATATAGGAGGAAGTCTAGCTAACATTTCTACAACCCTTTTTTTTGTTTTGTTTTGTTTTAGGCAATTGGGGTTAAGTGACTTGCCCAGGGTCACACAGCTAGTGAGTGTCAAGTGTTTGGTCTGAGGCCGGATTTGAACTCAGGTCCTCCTGACTTCAGGGCCGGTGCTCAATCCACTGCGCCACCTAGCTGCCCCTATTTCTACAACTCCTGAAGGTTTGCAAAGCACCTCCTATCCCTTATCTCGATAGTGGAGATGACGGAATGAGGAAAGTCCTTTTATTCTTGTACTCTAAAAATTTTTCATTTTTTTTTTAAACCTGAATGAAGGGTACATATCGTCAGGCTCCTTCTAGATCTATTGATATAATCAAGTCATTTTCCTTTCTTGGGTTAGTAACGTGATTTATGATGTTTTGACTTCTCTGAAGTTTGGACCATCCCTAGACTCCGCCTGTGGGTCCTTCTGGAGGGTCATTAGACCGTGAGGTCCTGGAGAGCAGCGGCTGTTTGTGCCTTCTTTTTGTATCGTCACTGCTTAGCACAGTGCTTGGCACATTTGTTCAGTCATTATGCAGCTGGATTCTACTCTTTGTGACCCCATTTGAGGTTTTCTTGGCAGAGACACTGGAGTGGTTTGCCATTGCCTTCTCCAGTGCCCAGCGCATAGTAGGTGCTAAAGAAATGCTTATTGATTGACTAGTAAGTCACTTTGGGCATAGATTGCCAGAGCCTCTTTGCTAATATTCTATGCAATAATTGATATTCATAAGTGATATTGTTGAGGATAAAATCACAAACTCAGTCAGGCACTGAAGACCCTCAACAATCTAGTTCTTAGCCTTATTTCATACTATATCCTTTCCAACCTTATTCTATATTATTCCCTTTCGAAGACCCTGCTTTCTAGTCCAATTGGCCTCCTAGCTCCTCCATGCCTAGCATGCACTCTCTCTTAGGATCCTTCAAGGCCCAGTTCAGGGGCTGCTTCTCCCCTGGTCTCCCGCTTCTAAATGTTTTCTCCCTCCTCAAATTGCTTTGTCTGTTTCCCCCTCGCCCCTATCCCCAGGAGAAAGGCCCCCAGACAGGGACTGTTTGGTATTCACCTTTATATGCCTAGCACAATGTTTTGTACATAGTATGTGCTTCAAATATATTTGATTAATTGAATTGAAAGACAATCTGATATCCACTCAGAGAGATAAAATTCTCTCTTGCTCATGACCCACCCACCTCCTTTTCTAGATATCCATCTCCTTGATGACATCATTTCTGCCACTGGGCTACTATGCTGTAGCAAACTCTAATAGGGTAGCACGGGAACTTAAAAAATCACAAATTCCCATTCTCTAGGTCGCATTGTATTTGTCTTGATTTTGTTAAACACTTCCCAGTGACATTTGAATCTGGCCCTTTGACACCTCTGGTCGGTCTCCTCTCACCCACTGGACTCTTCTCTATTGCCTTCTGGGTGATCCCACACTTTCATTCTTTGGAGTCTGTGGTATGTGGTGACCAAAACGACTATTGACGTTAAGAAGATGGGCCTTTGTTTCTTGACTTCGTTAAAAGTACCACATGCCAATTCTGAGCTCAGATAAGACAGCAACAAAAATTGGCACAATTAAAAGAGATAATTGGGGAAACTACACTAGGCTTAAAAAGACCATAGCTACTGAACTAGCAACACTCAATATGTACTAAAAGATAGTGCATCCAAATCCTCAAAGGAAAAGCAAATTGAATTCCAGAGAGAAAAGGAAAGCAAAGTTCTAACCCTGCAGTGTCCCCCTTTCAGACCTAGACACATCTAACAAAAAGATAAACAAGAAAGAAGTTGAAGACCTGAAGACTTTTTTAGAAAAGTTAGAAATGATAGATGTTTGTCAATTCCTGAACGGCAATTAAAAATAGTATACATATTTCTTAGCCGTGTATGGCACCTTTAAAAAAAAAGTTGACCGTATGCTAGGGCTTAAAAACTCTTAAACCGATACAAGAAACCATTTGATCCCTTCCACAAATGGAAGTACTTGGGCGTAAGGTGGGTTGTCACTGAAAAGTTTTCAGACTGTGTACAAAGCTCAGGTTCAGTAAGGGAATAGACAATAGCCCGTTGACCTAAAGCATAGATTTGGAGAGTTGTAAGGGACCTCAGTGGCTCTTTAGCCCCATTTAGCCATAAAAGAATCCCCACTATAACATACCTGGTGAGTGGTTGTCTAGCTTCTCCTTGAAGACATCTAAGGAAGGGGAAGCCATCACCTTTTAAGGAAGTTCATTCCACTCATTGAAGTTTTTCCTGGTATTTAGCCAAAACTGGCCTTTTCACAATTTCTGCCCATTGCTCCTATGATGAAACAGAACAAATTTAATCTTTCCTTCACATGCTAGCCTTTCGAATATGTGGATGCTATCATCTTCTCTCTGGGTCTTTTCTCCATGGGGGATGGGAGGTAGGGTGGAGAAGATCTAGAGAGCGCCAACCAAAAAACTAATAGAAAGAGGCCTACTTCCCATCTCTAACCGCTAACCTCATTCCAGGTGAAACATTCCCAGTTCTTTCAACCAGTTTTCACATGCCATGGACTCTAGACCCTTCCCCATCCCGCTTGCCCTCCTCTGGACACTTTCTTAAACTGGGGGCCCCAGAAGTAAACACAATTCTCCAGGTGAAGCCTGAGGAGGACAGAGGACAGAGGGACTCTCAGCTGCCTATTCCCAGACTGTATCAACTTCTGGAGCTACCGTATCACTTACTGGTTCACGTTCCATTTACTGTCTCAAGAATCACCAGGCCTTTGTCAGACAAATGGTTATCTAACCATGCCTCCTCTTTCTTGTCCTTGTGAGGTTGATCTTTTTTATACTCATATGCCAGGGAGTAGCAATGTGGATGCCCAGGGATCAGAGATTATGGCGATCCCCACAGAAAAGGTGACACAAGGAGATCAGGGCTTCCCTCCAGAAAAGGGCAGCCAAGTTATGGACTTCCTCTGGGGAGAATGCTTCCCTAGAGAGCAAAAGCACACGAGCAGCACCCAGTGGTGACTGACCATACTACCTGCTGCTATGGGAGGAATATTTATTAGTGTATAGCTTCCTGACCAGGATTGTTTTTGATCATTATTGAAATTTTATGAGCAAGTTACTCAGGGAGGTGCTCAGCCTGGAAGAAATTAAATCTACAGCAGCATCACAGCCAGAGGACTTCAATCCTATCCTGCTAAATGGTCTGGGGATACTGAGGCTTGAGAATTTGACTCTGGAATCAGCACCTAGAATTCCTGGCATGTGTCTTTAATACTACCAAGAATGGGGTCACAGGCTTTACTCCAAATATATCGCTGTTTGACAATATCAGATACTTATCATCTTAAGCTTTGATGTTTCAGGGGATGAAGATCTGGAGAGCCCCAAGCTACTTCTCACCCCACCAGAAGAGCAATGGAAAGAGGCCCGCTGCCTCTCTCCAACCTAGAACCTTGTTCCAATAGAGCAAGGAGAGGACTAAGCGGTATGATTGCCAAGTTGATTTGCAAAATCTTGCTGTCTCTGGAAAACAAGACAGCAGATCAGTGGATAATTTAATACTATTATACTAAATTATACTAAATCCCATTCCATACTAAGTATTTGTTCCAGAAGGACTAGCCCCTCTGGCGTGAAGACTTGCTGGGGCCTTCTCAGGGCTGCTCATCCACTTTTGGTGCCCACCTGTCACCCCATTCTCACCTGTGGCTCCAAGAAGCTGGAGCACGGGCAGCAGCCACACCCCTGGAAAACTGTCTCGAAGGGGAGGGATTTAGTACCCCAGGTGACAATTTCTAAATCTCTTAAGGCTTTAGTTAGCTTCATTCTTGGGATTTCTTCTCTGTAAGCTTTATAGCTCTACGGATTTCCTCCACTGTGTGTCTATGTGCTCAAAGTGATTGTTCCGTAAGTTTCCACGTCGGAGCCTAGGGATTTTGTTTTCTAGGTCTCCGAGTCCAGAGACTCAGTCCTCTTTCTTTAGGCCAAATGCTCACAGTCACTAGCTCTCTATTTCTACACAATTAGTACCCTAGGTGTCTATGTGTCTAGCTCTATAGTCTTCAAGGTTTCTGTGCCTAGGTCTGTAGTTTTCTAGACCTCAGGATCCTCAAACACCAAGATGGACAGCTAGAGACTTCCAGATTTAGAGTTTTTAAGACCTAACACTATAGATCTATTGCCCTACAGATCTAGACGTAGAGGCTCAAGATATATGGACTTTAAAACTTAGAAAAAGACATATAGAGCTACGTCTCACCCCTCTCTCCAATAGTTGTCTCTTTGGTGTGGTTCTGATAGCAAGGCCAATGGAGAGGAAGAGAGAGGATTACCCCAACACCTTTCAATAGTTTGTCTTCTGACACGGTCAGAACCTTTTTTTTTTTTTTTAACACTATTTATCTCATCATTTTAGTTCGTATTAATGACCCAGAAAGAGAGAAACTGATGCTCACCTTATCTTCTCATCATAGTCATGACACCTAGGGTGAAGAGAGGGAGAGACAGTCTCTCTCAATGGATCTCTCAGCTTGGCCCAGGGAAAAAGAATGTCTTCTTCAATCTTCCTCAACTTCTTGATGGGATACTGCCAGCCAAAGCAGTCTTGTTACCAGAGTCTTTAAAAGGTGGCAGGATAGAAGGAGGGAGGAGCAGGAGGGAAGAAGGGAGGGAGAGAGGGGAGAGGGAAGGGGGAGAAAGAGAGACACATAGAGAGAGAGAGAGAGAGAGAGAGAGAGAGAGAGAGAGGGAGAGACAGAGAGACGGAGAGAGAGAGAGAGAGGGAGAGAGAGAGACAGAGAGACAGAGAGACAGAGAGAGAGAGAGAAAGAGATTTTTCTCTTCTAGCCCGTCATCTACTTGCTTTGGTCCTGGTGGTCTGCTCATGGAAAAGAGTGTCTTTTCCTTGTTCTCACACTGGTCACCTCTCTGCTGTAGTCATATGGGAGAGAGTGAAGGAGAGATATGGGTGACAGAATCTGTCCTCCAGCATAATTATCTCCAGTCTGGTGACAAGGCCCAGAAATAAAGAGGTTCTCCCTGTATCTGTTGTCTGGCACCTTCTGTTAGCTGGTCTTTCCAAGAATGAAGAAAGAGAGGGGGAGAGGGGGAGAGAGGGGGAGAGAGAGAGAGAGAGAGAGAGAGAGAGAGAGAGAGAGAGAGAGAGAGAGAGAGAGAGAGAATGAATCTTCCTCTTCCAGCCCGTATCTCCTTGATGTGATCCTGTTGGTCTGAACCTGAAAAAGACAGTCTTCTTTGCTTCCCTCCCCCACACTCATATGCTGGTCACTTCTTTGCTGGAGAGAGAGTGGAGATGTAAGCTGCTCTCTATCATCCTCCGGGTCAGTGTCGTGCAGCAGAAGTCTTGCTTCCTGGCCCAGGGAAACAGAGAGGTTCTCTCTCTGATCTTGGGCTTTTACCTGCTGGTTGAGATCAAGTAAACAAAGAGGGGCTCCCACCACAGCTGTCCTGTTTGTCAGGCCCAGGGGGACTCCTCCTCATTCTCTCTCTCAGTTGGACATCACTCTACTTCAGTCCTGTGGGTTGGGTCCAGGGAAAGAATGAGAAGGGCAGGGTAGAAGGGAGACAGAGAGAGAGAGACAGAGAGAGACAGAGACACACACACAATGAGAGAGATAGTGAGTGAGACAGAGAGAGAAAGAGAGAATCTTAATGTTCCAGCCCGTTATCTCCTTGTTGTGGTCCTATTGGCCTGACCAATGAAAGGAAGGTCTTCTCTTTGTTCCCACACTGGTCACCTCTCTGCTGTAGTCGTGTGGGAGAGAGTGAAGGAGAGATATGGGTGACAGAATCTGTCCTCCATCATAATTATCTCCAGTCTGGTGACAAGGCCCAGAAATAAAGAGGGTCTCCCTGTATCAGTCATATGGCACCATATTAACAGTCAGGCTTCTGCTAGCTAGTCCTTCTAAGGATGAAGAAGAGAAGAAAAAGAGAAAGAGAGAGAGAGAAATCTGTTCCAGCCCGTTATCTCCTTGTTGTGGTCCTATTGGCCTGACCAATGAAAGGAAGGTCTTCTCCTTGCTCACACATTGGTCACCTCTCTGCTGTAGTCATGTGGGAGAGAGTGAAGGAGAGATATGGGTGAGAGAAGCTGTCCTCCATCATAATTTTCTTCAATCTGGTGAGAAGGCCCAGAAATAAAGAGGGTCTCCCTATATCTATTGTCTGGCACTGTATTAACAGTTAGGCTTCTGGTAGCTGTTCCTTCCAAGGGTGAAGAAGAAGAGAAAAAGAGAGGTGGAGAGAGAGAGAGAGAGAGAGAGAGAGAGAGAGAGAGAGAGAGAGAGAGAGAGAGAGAGAGAGAGAGAGAGAGAGAATCTTTCTCTTTCAGCCTGTTATCTCCTTGGCCTGATTATGGAAAAGAGTCTTTCTCTTTGTTCCCCTCCCCTGTACTCATATGACGGTCACCTCTTTTCTGGCGAGAGAGAACACATATAAACTGTTCTATCTTCCTCCGTGTTACCGTCTCGAAGCAGAAGTCTTGCTTCCTGGCCCAGGGAAACAGAGAGGTTCTCCTTTTGTTCTTGGGCTTTTACCTGTTGGTCGGGATCAAGTAAAC